GTCCAAATGTTTTTTGGCTCCTTTTGATTAGAGTCGTCTTTTGAAAATGCTTGATCTTGATCTGAAATGCTTCGTTTCTACAGGGAGCTCCAAGAAGAGTATGCCTGAGGTTTGGTGGAAAGGTTCTGGAAGAGAAGTTAGGATTTACAGCTACACTGGCAATGCCGTAGACACCTACACAGGTCCCGCCTACATTCCAGCATCCATCTACATCCTGAGGTTGAAGTCAAATGAGCAGGACACGCAAGTTTCGGTATACCTTCATGAAGGTCCTGGTCCCTCTGGAGCTTTCCCAGAGCTGCCATCGGATCCCAGAGTGCACACATTAGGGGTGGGTATGACCAGTGTCACCTTGAACTGGGCTCCGAGCTCATCGGTAGTTGTTAAAGATAGTCACCGACCACATCACGAATACTGCGTCTTAGTAAACCACAAACACAACTATCGAAGTCTATGCGCTGCTCGTGAGGGAATCCGAAAGGAGATACAGAGTGTGCAGAAGAGACAGAGGAGAGATAAACAAAGCAAAGAGATTGTATGGGCAACACTTAAAGACTGGTGGTGGAGGCAGCCGGATACCATCAAGAATCGTGAATCATCTGACAAATTTGAGGACCCTGGATGTGTTTGCAGGGATGTTGAAAGTGTGTGCACGGTTTCAGACCTGCTTCCGGATACACAGTACTATTTCGATGTGTTTGTAGTTGACAGGGTTAATGGCACAAGTACAGCCTACACTGGCACATTTGCCCGGACACATGAGGAGGCTCGTCCTGCTGTCACAACCTTAAGGGAAAACCAGGTCAAATGGGTTACTCTAAGTGGGGACGCAAGCAGCCTACAGGTGGACCAGTTCCGATTCAAACCTCGCGGATGGCAACAAAACGGCCTGCTGACCTTGCACACCTGCAATGGGACTAGTAAAGTTAGAGCCACAGTCTCTGGTAAAGGACAGATTTTGACATCTGAAGAGGTGGGACACCAGCTGGCCCAGATATGGTTGCATGGTGCCTCGTCTTACCTCATCCAGCTCCAGGCCTTGGCTCCAGGTCCCTCATTAACAATCCCTAAAGGTGATTCAGGCAAGTCCAAATTCTGTCTCAAAATGCAGGCATCATCAGCATACCACCGCCGTGCTGTGCCTGTGTTTCCCACTACATTACAGATTAAGTCTTTCAACAAGTTGCGGACCTGTAATTCAGTCACTCTAGCCTGGATGGGAACCGAAGAACGGAGTCTCTACTGTGTTTACCGAAGACAGATCCCACTTAACAGCAAACACACCTCAACGGATCGCTGCATCGACCCAGAGTCTCGTCCTGCAAATGAAAGAGTCCTCTGTAAGTATTTCCAAGAGTTGAATCCACGTCGGGCAGTCACAACAGCAGTGATCGGTGAACTGGAACCAGGGTTGCTATACGTGTTTGACGTCTACCTTATGAGACGCTGGGGACTTCCAATTAAGTACCACAGCAAGACGGTGAGAACCAGAAATGAATGTTGAGTGGACAGTCTTGCTCTCAGTGTAGGACTCATTAGAGAGACATATGCCACAAGGACGCCAATGAAACGCCAGAGAGGAATCTGTTGGGGACCGAAATCTGGTGTGGTCCAACGTGGCCACTGAAAGTCATGAACACATATTATGCCAACACACAGACACACAAATACCAAGAGAGGTGAGGTCAAGCTCACACCAGCAAAAACTAATTTACTTTATGATGTTCCCATATTACATTTGTGTTGTTGTTGTTGTGTGTAATGTCATCTCTATTGTTGATTATACAGTATTGAGTGTCTGAATAACAGAAACTCTCTCGTCTCTTACACAAAGAGGACCGTGCCAAAATATGCAAGAGAAACAGCCGGAGGGCTTTGAGGACCAGTGCTAACCAGAGCTGTATCAGATCTCTCAATCTGCCACCAGTATCAGAAAGACACTATGCGAGGGAGGGGCGAGAGAGAGCAAAAGAGCTGTGTGAAGTCAGTGTGTTGATTATGCTCTGCTAAAGCATGCAGCAGGGGAAAAAAAAACGAGTTAGCGCTTCGTTGTCTGTGATGTGATTGTTGTGCTGCGCTTCTGCGCACTAATAAAAACACAGTTACCAACCAGACATGAAAATGATCTGTAGATGTGTCACGCTTTGACATTCATCAAGGGCAATGGCTGTTAATGTTCCTGAATGTAAATTTAAATAATTAAGGTTATATCGGTGAACGCAATTCAGTGTTGAGCCTCACAACATTAACCACTGCAGTAATAATACAGATTTAAAAATAAATCAACAAGACGTGAACTCTTTGTGCAAATATTTACAAACAACTTTGGATACTGCAGTCCCACAGACATCAAACATGTTACAGTAGCTCCCTCTGCAGTCCAAATAAGGAATGGATACCAGACAGTGTAGGGCAGGGGTTTCCAAACGGTCCTGTAGGGATGGTGTCCTGTATAGTTTAGCTCCAACTTGCTTCAACACACCTGCCTGGAAGTTTTTAGTATACCTGAAAAGAGCTTGATTAGCTGGCTCAGGTGTGTTTAATTGAGGTTGGAACTAAAATATGTTGGACACCGGCCCTCAAGGACCGAGCTAGGACACCCCTGGTGTCAGGCATGCATGGGTCTCAAACTCAATTGCTGGAGGGCCGCAGCTCTGCATAGTTTCAAACATAGCGGATCAAACTAATCAAGGTGTTCGAGAATCTTTTAAACAACTTGATTAGTTGAATGAGCTTTGTTTGATTAGGGTTGGAGCAAAACTGTAAAACTACAGAGCTGAGGCCCTCCAGGAACTGAGTTTGAGACCCATGGTATAGAGAATATGAAAGCCAGAGGTGGAGAGTTTGAAATTGAATGTTTCCAATCAGTTTACTAAAAAGATTTATACAGTAGATATAAGACCACAGAACCCCACCTCCGCAACTTCCTTGTGTCCATCAATTTTCCATGCTTTTGAGGTCAGAGGATTGAGATTAACTGGCTTCCATTATACCCCCTTAAACCTAACTCAGATCCAGGTCATGGGACCAGTGTAACTGCTCTGATTCTACTAGCGCCGCAGAATTCAACCAACACTAGGAGTCAAGCACACTAATAAATATACTAAAGCCCACAGGCCTTACTGTGTCAGTCACTAGGGCATATATTGAAGCCAGAGGAGCGAGGTTTACATGAACAGCCTTTACTGGCTGACCTCTGTTACACTCATCCCTTTAGCCTAACTCCCATCAGGGTCACAGCGCATAAATGTAACTACAAAGGGAACATGAATGTTGATAACCACAGTTCCTAAACTGTGCAAAACGACCACTAGAAAGAAATTGAAAGAAATTCAAATCGACTAGCATGAATGTTACAGTGTCAAAGATAAAAAGGAAAACACCATATTATTCAAATAAGTACCTTTATTTATCAATTGCCATTCTCATTTATGTTACAGAGGTAAACATTTAGGGGGAGTCTTAGATAAAGCAGTGCTACACCTGCTAAGAGCTGTTACCTTCACACACACACACACACACACACACACACTTGCGCACACTTACATTCCCATCCAGCACTGTCATCTCCACCTGAATCAAAGCAGATCACTCATTGTTTCCACACACAAAACATCTGCACCTGACCGTTTCGGTTGATACAGGTGACATGGCTCTTGAAATCTGCCCACTCAAATCAGCAGCAATGAAACTCAGACAGCAGAATGTCTACTGGAAACTCTAGAAATCTCCGCCAGAAATTCTAGGAGTCAAATATGGCTACAACTTCTGCGACTCTAGATTGTCCTTGCCGAGCTGAGTGAAGAAGAGTTGGATCTGTCTTAGAGGCGGAGGCGTTAGGCTGGGGTATGAAGAGATGTCTTCTCCTGACATCCCTTCAGTATGGCTGTAGAGGAATCCATCTCTCTGATCATCAAACATTATGATGGCCTGTACACTCGTAATACATGCTTTGAGCTTGGTTACTCTCCAGATAGAAAAACAAAACAAAACTGTTGATTGAAAGCAATACTCACTCACTCACTCACTCACTGAGATCAACACGTTATCAAACCAGAGAAATGCAAATGTTCAGTTAGAGATCATCCATAAATGCTGATACAGTGAAGCTGCCACATAAACATTAAGAGCCACATTCAATATCTGCCAGCAAAATGGTACATTAAGATGTGCTTGACTATTTAAAGATAAATATTGAAGGATTTCCTGGCACAAAAGGAACCAAAATGGCCATTCAAAATTATGAACGAATGACTTTTTCTACTGTATAATATTCCTGTAAAATCCACTTAATGCTGACCAGAAAAAAGAAAAGAATTACAGTACGCATATTTATATGAACCCTGAACTCTTTGTGTGCACTTATATTTATATATATGTGATAATAAATATACAATAAAGGCCTGTCCGTCATGCCTAGCTCTGTGTGGTTCACAAAACTAACAGTGAGGTCACATTTACTGTTACTCAACAAAATTCCATAGGGGATTTCCTTTTTCTTTCGTTCAAGATGGTCACGTGTATTCGCCACAGTAAAAGATTCACTTATTAAAACAGGAACAAAAATATGTTGTTTAAAGGCGAAGTTTAATTGATTACTATTTGTAAAATCACATATCGGTCATGACTTCCAGTTGTTGGTGAACTACACTCACCAGACACTTAGTACTTTTGGGTCCCACTTTATATTAAGTGACCTTAACTAATATGTACTTACACAGGAATTAATAGTTTGCTACAATGTACTTATTGTGTAAATACATGTATTTATTGTGTATGTATGCTTGATTAAATACCTGTATGTAATTACATCTGTAATTAACTTCTATAATTACATTTGTAAATATACTGTTGACCATCCCTTACACCTTAACCCACCCCTAAACCTACCCATACCACCAAACCTGTCCAAAACCCAACCCCTATCCCAACTCAAGAGCACCACAAGTGTTCTCAAATACATTATGAACACACTAAGTACATTGTATTTATTTTTTGATGCAAGTACATAGTAGTTAAGGACACTTAATATAAAGTGGGACCTACTTTTGTAATTTTAAATAATTTAAATTGAAAAAGAGAACTCACTAGTGTATCTGCGTTGTTACTAAATACGTGATTTGTGTACTTGTCCACCACTTGAAATTTAAGCTGAGTAACATTAAATGGGACTGCACCTTAAGGCTCACTCACGGCTTATTTTTCTGAATAGCGAACGGTTTTAAAATAAGAAACTTGAAACTTGAAATCCTCTTTCACCTGTCATTATGTAGGCTGTACTAATGTATCGGCCCACCCTCATATTGCGGGTATGCTTCCAGAATATCAGTGTTTTTCTCTGAAAAACCATTCATTGCGGTTTACACTGCTGGAAATAAGACCTTAGAGTCCTTTCGGATGTTACAATTGCTATTGAACATTCCACGATCACGGAATCATGATACAAAACGAAGAATTCTTACACACCTATGGTCCAAGATCGTGGATATAAAGTGGTTGGAATTGCATCACGATGAAACATCCGTCTAGAATACAGACAGTATAAATCTTCCATAGCAGGTTCCACGATCCAAAAAGGGTCTCGAACACTCCGGTGCGGGCAACATTCTGGCTATTTAAACTCCCTGCTTTTATGAACCTGCATAGAAACTCCATGGAGGCCTCACAGAGCCATCTTAAGAGAAAACCAAAAGTTGTTACTCCATACAGTACAGCATGTACAGTACATCTGCAGATGTAAGGGATAGACAGTTTCCTGTATTTGGCAGCCATATGAAGCTGAATAGTCCAATATACAAAAATAGGGTTTTAGAAAATTTCAAACAACAACATGAATAACAATACTACTACTAATAATAATAATATTAATAACAACAGCGGTCATAAATAAGGTCCACGCTCAAACAGCGCGTCATACAAAAGTCCAGCAGACTTACAAAGTGTCTGTCAGTACTGAAGAAAAGTTGCGTCAGTGCTGAGGTGAGTTTGGTTCAAGAAGCTAAGGGGGATTTTGTGTGTGTGTCTGTGTTTACGTGTTTGTGTTAAAGCCCTGGTCTGCTACTGCGTGCCGTTGAACCACCTCTGTTATGCGAGCGTGCTGGAAGTGAGAGAGAGAAAGAGAGAAAGTATGAACACTATATATTTAAAAGTCCCTTTTCTTGCAGAAATATGACACTATTAAATGTTCTGAATGATTTCCTGAAGCTTTTAACCACAATATAAGATATTATCACTGTATTTACATGAGATGCCAAAAGAGTTACTCTATCATGTACTGTATAATAACAAAAAAAACTTTATTTTAATATTTTAGTATATACAGGAATCAGAGAGGGAAATTCAATACCTTTAAAGACCTTTTTTAAGACCCTTTTCATACATTTTAAGACCTTATAACCACTTTTCAACTGGAAACACAAGAGAGGTTTTAACTTACAGTATATTTACTAAATATTAAATGTAAGAAACTTATCCAAAACCTTAACATTTTTCATATACTGAATAGAAATCAGGGTGACGCAGTGGCGCAGTAGGTAGTGCTGTCACCTCACAGCAAGAAGGTCACTGGTTCGAGCCTCGGCTGGATCAGTTGGCGTTTCTGTGTGGAGTTTGCATGTTCTCCCTGCGTTCGCGTGGGTTTCCTCTAGGTGCTCCGGTTTCCCCCACAGTCCAAAGACATGCAGTACAGGTAAACTGGGTAGGCTAAATTGTTCGTAGTGTATGAGTGTGAACGAGTGTGTATGGATGTTTCCCAGATATGGGTTGCAGCTGGAAGGGCAGTTGCCGGTTCATTCTGCGGTGGCGACCCCGGATTAATAAAGGGACTAAGCCGACAAGAAAATGAATGAATAAAAATCTATTAAATGTAGCTAATTCAGCAGGTTATCGTCTATAGAACTGCAGAAATAATGGTGTTGCATTGGTTACTGCAGTAAACAAAGCAGCATGTTGTCAAATCTTGTAGGATTTCACTGATTTCATAAACTACACAGCATCCTGATATTCGCAGATTTAATTCAGGCAAGCTTTAGCATACAACCATACATTGTATGATCAAAAATTATATCAAATTTAATACCTTGCAAAATAGCATTTAAGATTTTTTAATACTTTTTAAGGGCCTTTTAATTTCTCTACATTGATTTATCAATTTTTATACTTTTTTGAAGACCCCACGGACACCCTGTATTTTGCAAGGCTTTGTATAAATGTTCAATGTAAACAAATGTTTCAAACTAATTCAATTGCAAAATTATTACTAGCACAATATGTAAGTTTTTCATCATGAGTTTAATTTCATTCGTTTGTGTTAACAGATGGAACCTGATTCTAATAACAGTCCTATAAAGAATCAGAGATTTTCAATCAATTACTCGTTCATCTTGCAAAATAAAAATGTGGAAATGTTTATGAATGTGATGAACAACCACTTTCAATAGAACAATCAATGTGAATATTCTTAAAAGGCCTACAAAAAGTTGAAATAATAATGTTTATTAACCCAAATACTATATTTTATTATTGAATATAGGCAAGTCTACTTAACAGTAGCTTTATTAGCAATTATAAAAATTCATAAATGACTAAAAGTGTGGTCATCCAGTAATGTTAGTTTATATGTTCAATATCCAAGAGTTTCTAAATACAAACTAAGTACAACCAAAACTGTGCAAATGTACTGCAAGTACATAAGAAATATGTCCTGGGAGATCTGTATAAGATTTTGTATGTTAAACCTTAAGGAAATGTTTAAACTTTTAGTACACTTGAGTTGGAGCACGACACTTTATGATTTATCATTGATATTAAATAATAAATTGATAATAAATCAGAATAATAAATGACTTCCTAACTACATTTCACTCTTTCATCATTACTCTTAAAAGTGAGAAACGATGTAATATTCATAAACACTAAGAAAGGGCAAATTTGAGGAGCTCAGTCAAAAATCCTATTACAAGACTTGCAAGGCTGTTGAAAATCCTATTATATTTTTCTTTTTCATTTTTATGCAATTACTATAGTTTAAACAAATTTTCTTTCCACCAGTAGATTGAAGAACATAGTATATTTTTACAAATATTCAAAATTATCTAAAAAATATTATTACTTTTATATAATCAAATAAATATTTATTATTATTACCAACAAGCATTATTTTTACATTTATGATGATGATGATGATAATAATAATAATAATAATAATAATTATTATTATTATTATTTAGCTTTTTTCAGCACCAAATTAGTATATAAAAATGATTTCTGAACAATCACAAGGCAATGAAAACTAATGTAATGACATCACATGAATAAATTACCTTCTAAAATCTATTTTTAAACACTGATTTTAAAGTTTCAAAGCTCAAAGTTGAAATTAAGTTGAAAATAGTTCACATGAAACTACTGGTATCTCTTCAGAACATGCAAAATTGGTATCTTTTTACTTTCAGTTTAAAATTCATGTAAAAAAAGTCAATTGAACAATTCCTACTGACCTTGACCTGAGGCTTTTGCATCTGGCTCCTCCTCGTGCCCGATTGGGAAATGGCCCATTGGATGATGGGAAAATGAGTCTATAAAGGAGGAGCTGCTGATGCCCAAACTGATTCCAGTCACACCAATTCCCAGAGAATCTGCACTCAAAGGCAAAACACAGTCAGTGGGAAAGTTTATAGAAATAGAATGCTTATCCGCAAGTCTGATGTGTGTTTGTCTGCACACACCTACGCCAACAGATGCCCTGCCAGGTCGACCCTGCCCGATGTTGTCTATCCCAGTGAATGAACGGTGATAAGGGGTGTCTGACTGCAAAGCAAATTTTGCCATGATCAATACATCAATAAATCCTATCACATGTACTCAAATTTCAGATGTTTAAACTGGCCTTTATACAGAGATATAATACAATAGATAACATAGTCTTTTTCAATCCAATGCTGTTAACTATAGTCTTCCTCAAGCTAAATTTTTATTTCATGCTAATTTCCATGTTTGGTGATTAGATGGTCTGTTCTGGACTGTGAAACTGAACACAACACATCCAGTTTGCAAGTTTACCTACAAGTTATTGCTCTTTGCTTCTTATCTAAATTGTTTCTATATGCAAGAGAGATTTACCCTAAAGGTGTGTGTGGTGTTGGGTCTGGAAAACACGTCCAGCAGATGTAGTTTGTCTCTGGGCTGCAGACTGATACCCTCATCTGTCACTGCACTGTGTGCACGACTGGAGGATCCTCTCTGCTTCTGGAAACACACGTTTATGGATATAAATCCTAAATATTACAAATGCATGTATATGCATATATAGAAATATAAGAGTTTGCTCAGTTTTTTGGATTTCCAAATTCATAGTAATGTGCTAGGGTTAAACAAAATTGTACTTTACTATTTTCAATTTTTAGACTTAAAAAAAATTGCTGCCTTATATTTGCTAAAATTATTGACCTTTTTCCCTGAAATATTTTAAATTCATATTTTTCTAACTACTTTTTAATAATACTGTAATGCACAGCAGTTTATAATGCAAACAACATAATTTTTTTGGAACACAACAACAACCTAAATCTTGCAAAAGAGCTACACATCCCAGCAAGCATTTTTTGTTTTGTCTAATAGACATCTAAACGTAGACCGCTTGGCTAAAACAAGGCCAAATTTGGGCTGTCAGTGAAAATCTAAAAAACATCTAAGAACAGGCCAAAACTAGACTAGTCATCAAATAAACAAAAATGAATGACTGCACATATAAAGTCTGTCAAATCTGTCTATTTGACGACTAGTCTAGTTTTGGGCTATTCTAAGATGTCTATTAGATTTTCACTGAAAGGCCAAGTTTAGCCTTGTTTTAGCCAAGCAAAATTGTTTGCTGGAATTTATTACTACCATCTGATTGGGTTTATTGTGTAGTTAAAGCACCTGTATAAGCCGTGTGTGTTGTCCGGAGTATACATGGTCTATGTCTCCTGTGCCAATGGGAGGAAGGAGTGTGTTTCTACTGAGATGCATTGGAGGTGAAGTCAAACGATCACTGGGAGTTGTCCTGAAACACAAACACACACACAGACAGTATTGTGAGAAAATTGTTTTTGTGTAACAAAATATACTGAACCACTGGAATTAAATGATGGTCTTACAGTCTAGTGCCTCTGACCACCTCCTCCATGGTTGTGATTGGCTGTGTTACGCTGGACGTAATTGGCATCAGATTTCGAGGAGGTGGGTTCCGTCGCCGTGCAGACTGAGGGGGGCGAGTCAAAGATGAAGTGCTTTGATCCAGTGCCCTGCGGGGCCGGGGTTTACCGGCAGGGATCACACTAGAGCCAGGACGATGAGACACTTTGTCCTCAGAGTCCCTACAGTCAGACCTACAGACAGAGAGAGGACATTCTCTGTCAAAGAAGAAGAAAATATACGCATTTCATCTACAAAAACATGTTTAAAAAAATTATGGACTGAATAAAAAGACTTAGTTTTGGAAAATAATGTAAAGACAAAAAAATAAACAAGTTATTACCTGTTGCAAAGAAAACAAATGTATAATACAATTACTCCAGTCTTTAACACAAGCAATAAAAGAATTTGTGTAATTAATTGGACAAAAAAACTATACATTGATATTCTGTCATTCAATTGATTTGTCTTTATTATTGAACCATTAAATATTTTCTTAAATTATTTGTTCCTAATTATTCATTCAAGAACAAAACACCAAAAGATTGCTCTGAGATGCACAAATGTTCAGCTTCAGCATCTGTGAAACTATTTTCATAAAAAAACATTTATGTTTTTGCATTGTTTTTGCAGATTTCATCAATTAAATTTAAGACTTTTTAAGAGCATTATGAATGAAATTTCAGACTTACACAAGTTTTTTTCTAATGGCTCAGTTAAAACATTAAAAACAAATGTTATTGTAAGGATGATAATCAAACCATATGAGTTAAAAAAATAAGAGTAAAATAATAAACTTTTGTTAAAACTTTTATTGAGACTGAATGACTGGATGGGTGTTGGCCCGGTTGGATAGCTTTACATGGACATAGGAAAATTAAGACCTGTTAAAAACGATTTAAGACTTACAACACAATATTTTATCAGACGTTTTAAGGCCTAAAATTTAGATTTTGAAATTTAAATTTAAAACATTTTAAGGACATCGCGAACACCCTGAAAAGAGGATTTTTATTTTTTGAATACTTTATTTTTTAATTAATTTTTATATTTAAAGGAATGTTTGTATTTTTAAGATGTAGCTCGCTCAATATGAATTTCTTATCCATTGTATAAAAATGTATTATTTGTGATCACTCATATCCTAATTTCCATGAAAAACTTGCATTTTGCTTGTGTGATCACTTCACCATTTATTTTAAAATATATAAAATCAAACAGAGTTTTGATAAATTTAATAACAATGTTATTCTAACTTAATTCTAATAGTCTTCATCACACAGTTGATGCTTTGGACCAGTGGTCACCAAACTTGTTCCTGGAGGGCCGGTGTCCTGCAACCCTAATCAAACACAGGCAGGTGTATTGAGGCAAGTTGGAGCTAAACCCTGCAGGGACACCAGCCCTCCTGGACCGAGATTGGTGACCTCTGCTTTCGACTCTCAATGTATTAGCTTGTTAATTGTAAAGTGAGCAACATACCAAAAGCATAATGACAACATAATAATTGAGATATTATCAAAGATGATAAGTATTGCACTGTCCTAAAAACAAAATGCAATATAAGCATACAATACACAGTAAACGCTGTATCTATTTGTGTTTCTGTGTGGTTCATACTGATTTAATCGGTCCAGAGTTCCCAGGTTCCTTTGCTGCAGTGGAATGCCATGTATCATGATGAGGTCATTAAGATTGTGATGAGCAACCGCCGGTCCTACAGGCACTCGACTGGTCTGTGGAAACAAAGACAGAGAGAAGAGGAAAGAGAAAACATTAAACAAATTGAGGTTTTCATTTAATGTCCTAGAATGCATATTTATCTCACTGATAAATAAAAAATGATGGCATTCACAGCATCTGACATCCATCATTTGTACAGCATGCGATGACGTGTGAAAACAGACAAAAAGACAGTGAAAAAACTAAACAAAGAGAATAGAAACAGAACTAAGAGTGCAGAACAAGCATTCTAATCACATCCACAGGATTAAAAAACAGAGAAAGCAACTAAAAGTGAAGTCATGTTTAAAAGGCTGTTAGAAATGTGATGTGTGTGTTAAAAACAGAGTGTGAAAGTATCCGAAAAAGAGAGAGAAACGGGTCCACAGACAGATACACTCTCGCTCGCCCTCTCTGTTTAAGTGTTGTTATTAGCGTAAAGTTACATACAGTCGATGACTTTCTCTGCTTTTTGGATTTCCGTCTTGACTTGTGCTTTGAACCCCATGACTTTGAGCTCTTTAGAAAGAAAATGGAGGGAAAGTATAGAAAGAGAAAGGGAGAATGCGAATGACAGACAGAATGATGATTGGACAGAAAGGCAGAAACAGGGACAGAGAAGAAAACACAGAAAAAGGAGGTAAAAAAAAGTTAATGAATTGAAAGCCTGGGGGGGAAGCTGAAAAGACAAATGCTGACAGTTGTGAAAAAACAGCACTTGTATGTATTTTTGAGTGTGTGTGTGTATGAATATAGATGAGAGACACAAAGCAGTGAAGATCTTTCCACAGTGATTAGACTCAGCTACAGAATTCCCAGAGCTTTGGAGAAATTTGTGTAGTTTTCAGTTACTTATACTGTAATTTCTGGCTAAAGTAACTTCTAATCAATATTATATTATATCATATTATATTATATAATATTATACATTCATTTTCTTTTCGGCTTAGTCCCTTTATTAATCTGGGGTCGTCACAGCGGAATGAACCGCCAACTTATCCAGCATATGTCTTATGCAGCGGATGCCCTTCCAGCTGCAACCCATCTATGGCACTCATTCACACTCACACTACGGACAATTTAGCCTACCCAATTCACCTGTACCGCATGTCTTTGGACTGTTGGGAAAACCGGAGCACCCGAAGGAAACCCACGCGAATGCAGGGAGAACATGAAAACTCTGCACAGAAACGCCAACTGACCCAGCCGAGGCTCGAACCAGCGACCTTCTTGCTGTAAGGCGACAGCACTACCTACTGCGCCACTGCGTCGCCCTATATTATATTACATTATATTATATTATTTTTGAGTAATGCCAATTTTGTTTTTAGTTGACAATGTCAATATAATGCATAAGGGAAAAGAACATGATTTTAGGACTTGTTCACACATGTACTGTGATTCTTTTGGTTCATTTGCTTTGGATCAGACAAAAAAAAATTAAACATTTCCTTCTGGTTGGCTTCACGTTTTAACACCAAATCCAACAATTTACAAAAATACCTTTTAAGATAAATATTTTGCAATAAATTGAACAGAAAATCCAAAACAATGCTGTGTGCTGAATAATCTGAGAAGATGTGTTTTTCAATTTTATCAGATGAGCAAACATGAAATGTTAATAAACTGTGTAAAAGGAATATGTTTTTAATTATTTTTGTCTCTTTTTCTTTTCATTAAACAATTGTATTTATATTGCTTAAATGTGACATATTAACTGAACTTCTACTGTTGAGAGTGATATGCTTTGCACAGCAATGAAGCATTTTTGCAAAGGTAGATGAAGCTGATAGAAATGCAAGGCCTGATTGTCTAAAATTAACTTGAGCTCTGCAGCAAAACTTTCTGTGAGCAGAAATGTGTTGAAACTGAACACAGAAAATGTGCAGTTGAGACGTCTTATGCTTTTAATGTTGTGCAGAGAAATCATAGAAAAAGGGGATGTATGTATGGGTGCGGCCAATGGAGGACTAGATAAGGATTGACAAATGACGAATTCCACCAAACTCCACCTGTTAATTTCAGCTATGTATAAAAGCTCAAATCAGAAAAATGAAAGTTGTTGCGCACATCCTGAATGTAACTCTTGCATTGCATTGAGGATAACAGAATTCTGTGAATCGAACTATTCATTTCTATCCAATAAATTACTAGATTTCTGACAGTAAAGAAAAACCTCTTCTGACCTTTTTTTATTGAACACGCATGGAGTTTATTAGATATTCTAACAAAGACTCAAAACAGAGCCAGCAACACCTGGGTCAAACACACAAATGAAGATTTATTTCTGATGTGTGTACTGAACTGTTGTGGAAAACAACACAGCAACTACAAAAACAAAACCAGCTATTTTTGAGCATTCTGTCATAGTTAGGGTTGCGCCTTACAACATCATGACCTGTTTTTGGAGGCGTTCACATTTACTCAAACGCAATGCATGAATAGAGCAATTGCACCAGTTTAATTTAAACTAATCAAATTATTTTTCCAAGACCATGGGAATCCTGATACTTAAATATTTTTGGAGGATATTATCAAGCAGATTGCGGGGATGGAATGGTCATCATTGAGATGGAATTTCAGATGAAATCATTCTTGCAGCCATCTTTCATAGATGGAAAAGTAGGAACTCAGTAGATTTAGCTCTAGATCTGAAGGGGTTGACCAACCTGGGCCTGCAAGTTTGTCGTGAGCTGTTGTGTTCTGGTCTGTGAAAGAGGAGGAAGCACGGTGGAGACATTGGACAGCAGCATGAATGGATTCTGAGGATCAGGACATTTAGGGCTGAGGGCCACGGTACTCTTCTCATCATCTGATGGACAGATGTTTAAAGAAAGGTTATTTTTAATCAGCACACAGATCTCCAGAATTTTTGATGTACTCTTATTTTCAAATAGTTTTCAACAATGACTCAATGCATGTGCACAAATAACTTGATTATATCCAATAATCAGAATAAGGGCGCTGCAATATAATGTTTACATGTCACAAGCAAAGCTCTTAATCCCGATTACATGCAATTTTCATTATTTCCTAAAAACTGGGATAATTTACAGCACAAATGTAGAACTTAGAAAGAGTAGATGTGTTACCGACTGCTGTTTTAATCAACTTTTTTTATGACACTTTTGTATGGTTGTATTTTGTGCTTTTTAGAAACCACTTGTGACAATAGAGTAGAGGGAAAATTTCTGAATGTCAGGGATATCACTCATAGAACAGCTTTGAATGTGCATTCCACAGGTGGCACACCGCATTGAAAATAATGCAAATAAGGTGTTAACATGCCTTAATATTTCTTATGTCACTTGTGTTAATATAATTATGCATTGCCCAAATCCCATTGTAATCACACCAGATGGTCCAAGTAAACATACTCATTGACAACTAATCTGTATATATTTAGAAAATGCTAAAGTTCTCATAATATTCATCCATGAACCAATATTGACCAAAAAAAAAACAATCAATCAATGTGACTTTGAGATTTTTTTCTGCAAAAAACTAATAAAAAGGTGTGATTTTTAGAGACATGTTTCTATTCATTTTTCAGACAACACAATACTAATGTTTTAAATTCCTATGAACTAGGAAAGCAATATTTGTTTTAAATAACCTTGATTTTCAAATCACACCAAATGAAAATATTTGTTGTTCTCAGTTTTTTTTTTAATCAAATTAGCATTTTAGAATGATTTATTGGGAATCATGTGACACCAAAGCCTAAAGTAAAGGCTTTGTGGTAACATTTATATTTTAAAATATTAAAATAAAAAAAATTATATTGTAATATCTCACAATATTATTGTTTCTACTGTATTTTGATTTAAAAAAAATAGTGAGCAAAATAAAATGTAAAAACCTAAACTTATAAAACTAACTCAATTCTATTGAAAATATTACTATTCAATATCAACTATTGGTCCAAAGCTGGAACTGAAGAGTGATAAAAATATACATTATAGTATTTCACATTTAGACAAATTTATCTTACCTAACACATATCCATCCCAGTGTTTACGTACAAGCTCCTCTATCCAGCCAATGAGCTCACGCCATACGTCGTCAAACAGCAGATCAAGCACCGCCTCCTGACGACATCGATAGGGTGAGACAGGGGGCAGGCACCGCCTCCGCCTCCTCCGTCTGCTCACATACTCACGTTCACATTCTTCATCCCTACAAAAACAAATAGATCAACAAAAATCTCAAATAAATTATTTTTAATTACAAACTCCCATTTGTCACACACTCACATGTCTCTGCAGTCGTAGGCCAGATACTCTTCTATTAGCCCTTCGGCCTCGATCACACTGGGCAGCTCATCTTCATTGTTACCACTGGTTTTAATACTGGTGTTGGTCACCTCCACAGTGGGCCGACACAAAACCGCCCTCCGACCCTGAACATACAACCTGCCACACACATATAAATGTCAGGGATTTTTTTTTCCTCCAGAGATTTGCATCAGTTGTTTTGAATTTTATTTTATATTTCAAAGGCTGTTTAATAATTCATAAAAAGTCATAAATTTCCACAGACAAACACCAAACTTCACAACTGTATTCATATCATATCTGCACTCTTTGAGGGTTTTGAACTTACTCGCTGACAGTGTTCTCTTTGCTCTGGAAGCTGCTAGAGGGGCTGGGGGTCTGAGCTGGCGTGGCATACCACTGGAATCCTTCATCTGTAGGACATACCACCTGCGTTCCAAGAATCCTGCCACACACAAATGCCAAAAATAGTGTTTAAGTCCATGTGAAATCAAAATGTACAATGTTTATTTGCTTTTTGCAACAGACACATTTGTACAATCACTCCATATAAAAACATCATTATGCATTTATAAAGTATAATTTACACAGGTGAGTGGGCTTGACAGACCAGCTGTAGAAACTCTCTCTCTTTCTCTCTCTCTCTCAAAAAAAAATTTCCCCTCCAAACTCCAGCACTAAATTTTGACGAGTAAAAACAGTTATTTTGTATGATGAGCACTTCTTGTGTGTATTGCCTCTTCTAGTTGAGTCCCTGAATGCCTCCTCAATTGTAAGTTGCTTTGGACAAGAGCGTCTGCTAAATGACTAAATGTAAATCCTTGCACAGACTAAATTTCATCTAAAGAATACCAATGTGTTCTAGCAAAATAAACTTTGTAAATATTGATTTCACACAGACTTTAAACAATGAAAAGAAGTGGCTCTAAAAAGAGAAAACAAACTAGGGCTGGGCGATAAAATCGGTATTTATTGACCGAACACCATTGTCAATATCAATTAAAAAGTTTCAGTATGAAGGCTATAGTTTTATTAAAATGTGGTTGCTGAGCGAGCACCTTGAAAGCAATGCTAATAAGCTTATGGTGAAAGTTTGCCTTGCACCTATCCACCTAGTTGAAAACATCTCAACTTTTCTGAATGCTGCGTGCGCATCGCGATTCATGAAAGTCAGTGGTGTCCAAACTTAATCCTGGAGGGGTGGTGTCCTGCAGATTTTAGCTCCAACTTGCCTCAACACACCTGCAAGGATGTTTCTAGAAAGCCTAGTAAGAGCTTGATTAGCTAGCCCAGGTGTGTCTGATTGGGGTTGTAACTAAACTTTGCAGGACACCGGCCCTCCAGGGCCGAGTTTGGGCACCCCTGATGTAAGTAGAACTAACCAATCTGCTTTCCACTTTGTATGGAATATACACATTTCAGATTAACTACCTCAGACAAACACAGCCCATCCAAACACTGCAGTGCTTTTTACTTTTATCCATAAACTTGCATCAGAGCTGCAGCAATGGTTTGTCCATTTTTCATCCTCTAAGAAAACAGTTTATGGTCGCCTAGTTACAGAACGATGGCAGGGGAGCGCGAGTGCAAAGCGCATTGAAAATGGTGAAGGAAACCACACACTCAGGCTTGTCACTTCAGATTAGAATAACAACACACACAAAAATGAGTGCGGTGACTAGCAGTAGTAAGGACATTGTAAATAAAAAATGGTGTAGGGATGTCGCCAGAGTAGCTTTTTGGTTTCTTTTCTTGTGCATCCCAGCTACTAGCACCCCATTTGAAAGAGATTTTAGCATAGGGGGTAGTGTAATCATCCAACTTAACAATTTGTAATGTTGCAATATGTATTTGAATAATAATGGCTGGTTCCTTTACTTGAAAGCTCAGATTTGATTATCATAATTTCTATTGTTTAAAGAATTTGAGGTTTACTTTATCATTATTAGTCACACCTTAAAGTTTGCTTTGATTGTTCAGCATTTACACTTTACTATTGCACACACTTTGTGACATTTTATTAATCAAGTTTAAGAGTCTCTTTAACACTTTATTTTATTATAAAGAGATGAGAAATTTTGTTTAAATATTTTTGTTTTTGACTATTAAAACTATTTGCCTTAGTAATGTTGTTAAATTGACATGGAGTACTTTAAAAAGTCCTAATATTCCTAATTAGATTGTTAAATATATTTAATAATGATCAATACCGAATGATATGAAACATGATATCGTAATATATTTTTTGTAATATCGCCCACCCCTACTACAAACTGTGTGAATGTGTACAAGTGTGTACCGCAGATGAGGGAATCGGAAAGCCCACTCTTGACACTCATCTTGGAGTCCTTTAAGCTGAGTTTCACACTTTCTTTCATACAACAGTTCGTCAATCTCTTCAAACATCTGCTGGACCTGCCTGGAAGCGGCTTTATCAAATTCCTGTCGGAAGAGAAAGAGAGAGAAAAAAAAAGATGAGCTTGAGATTCATCACCCTGTGATTTTGCATTTGCGAAGATTCACACTTGCTGTCATCATTGTACGACTCACATCGTAGCCCCACGAGAAGACAGAGCTGCGTTCTGTCGAGATGCCAGTTCCTGTGTAACTATGGATACCAGACCAAGACGGAACAGTGTCATCTGTGGTGAGTGTCTGACATCCTGATCTGACGGATGATGCAGAGGACTCCTCAGACCTGGAGACAAAGACAGACTTGTCACATTGGAAAGAGTGAACATTACAGACTAAAATAGACATTATGTGACAAATTCACACAATATACACAGTGATGAAAGCATATCCCTTTAATATCTACCTGCTGTATAAGGACATGTCCTCCTGTAGATTGTGCAGGAGTCTGGAGGAATGCGCAGTACCATTGTCTGCCTCCTCTGGAAGAGGATGCTGGTCCAGACAACTGCGGGACAAACCACGACTACCGAAACCAGCAGAGAGAAAGTGGAAGTTTTTAGTGGATAAACACAGACTATCCACCCATCTGTCTATCTGTCCATCTTTATTTTGGACCTTTAATTCTGCTATACTGATAGATAGATAGATAGATAGATAGATAGATAGATAGATAGATAGATAGATAGATAGATAGATAGATAGATAGATAGATAGATAGATAGTATAGATAGATAGATAGATAGATAGATAGATAGATAGATATTCATTGATCGATACCTTTATTTCACTATCCTTGTTTCTCAATATGTAACCAAAGATCTTCATAATTGATTATCTATCTATCTATCTATCTATCTATCTATCTATCTATCTATCTATCTATCTATCTATCTATCTATCTATCTATCTATACATTCCAGTATCCAAGATTCTGTTTATATAACCAAATATTCTCTTTTTTATAATATATCTATCTATCTATCTATCTATCTATCTATCTATCTATCTATCTATCTATCTATCTATCTATCTATCTATCGAATATTTACATGACTATCCATCCGTATTTCTTTCTATGTGTCCGTCAGTCTCTCCTAAGATTTAATAATCTCCGTTAATAATGAAGCGTTGAAAATGATTCTCTGAGCATATAGCGTTACCATACTGACAAATAAACCAGACGTATTTAATCACTAGTCCACAGTAACTACCTAATGGACTATCAAAGTCATCAAAAATGCTGTCTAAACATGCAGCTTGAGATGGTTCCTGTGTAATATTTATACGCACATCTCTAGGTTGTGAGATACAGGCCGACGGCTGTATCGAGAAATCATCCTCCTGATGCTGTTACAGCATACGCATCTCCTCCGTCTGTGAGCCTGTGATCCGACTCCGAGCCTCCAGTGTCCGGACCGGGCCGCTGCACCACCGCTGGTCTCTCATGCTTCACCCACAGTCCGACCACACAGAATGTATCACAGCTCAGAAAAATGTGAGAAAATATGCAGCATCCAGCACTGCACTGGGCCGAGCCTGAACTGACAAACCTGGTGTGGGCGAGAAAAACCCGTCCGCGAACATGAAACAAAAAGTCGGACTACTCCACCATTTCGTCGACGGAGTTTTTAGAAATGTTTATTGAGGTGGAAATCAGCTGTATTCTTCATCAATCCATGATTATCTGCTGAACAACAATAACAAGACTGTCATGGAGACCAAGGTGCTCTAGCTGATTTCTGGGAAGTGTAGTTTTTAATCTGATTTGCTGGCTTGAGCTGTATACTGCTGTCTAGTGCATGAGAGAGAAATATTGCGCATTAAATTGTACAAACGCAGGGGTGCCGAAACTCTTGTCAAAAAAATCCTATTGGGATTTCAGCTGATCCTTTAGGATCTTAATGGATCTTTATTGGATTTTTACAAATTCTATTGGGCATTCAGAATTTTTTAATGGAATATCACTTTGTCCAATGGGACTTTATATTTCTAATGGACATTCAGATTTTGTCTTAAAAGAATTTAGAAATGCTTTTGGACGTTATTACTTAATTAATTTGAATTTCACTTCTTTATGTTTGCTAATGGCTAAAGCCATATCTTGTTTTGTCAGGTTTGATTTTTATTTACAATAAGCAATTGTAATCATAAATGAATTAAAAACTAAATCATAGGATGGTGAGGCCCCAGGCAAGATAATGAAAATTTGGTCCACGTGGTGTGATAGTTAGATAGTTAGTTTAATTAGTTAATTATTAAACAAAACATTCTAAATGTGGCATGATATTTACCTCATATTTCACACGAGTCTCTCTGGGATCATATGTATTGTTGCATTAAATCCTAATACTAAAGTAAAGTTAACCTTTTCATATGAAGGGCCAAAAAACAAATATCATTGATAGCCATGGGCCAGATAAATATACCAAACTATTTAACAATACAATTGCAGTGGCTAATTTCCCAATTCATTTCATAATATTATAAAAGACATAGAAAACATTACTTTGAACCTTATTAATTTATGCAGTGTAACTTTTTAAATTAGAACCTAAAAAACAATAAAAGTCATAATGATTGATTCACTCACCAATGTCTCTGCATTGTACATTTTAAACTAAATCTGATTAATTGACATAATTTACATTGAAACATTTAATTTCAGATAGTTTTTTGTAGCTCAACAATAAAACAAGGTTTCATTAAATTTGAAATGACAATCTCTAAACCAGGGGTGTCCAAACTCAGTAGTCTGGAGGGCTGGCATCCTGCAGATTTTAGCTCCAACTTGCTTCAACACACCTGCAAGGATGTTTCTAGAATGGATAGTAAAAGCTAGCGCAGGTGTGGTTGATAGGGGTTGGAACTAAACTTTGCAGAACACCAGCCCTCCAGTACTGAGTCTGGACATGCCTGCTCTAAACCATTCTCATGGGGGGCCAAATCAAAAGTTACCATGGGTCAACTTTGGCCCGTGGGCTCTAGTTTGGCCATTACTGTACATAATAAAATAAGCAAGAAATGGAAGAGTCTCATCATATCATCAGTCATAAACGGATAAAAACAGCTTGTGGTGGGGGAGCAGCTTAAAGCCAAACTCTGCTGTCAAGCAGCAAGAAATGCTCAGTATGGACAATGCCTACTATAGTAATAGTATATAATTATTTAAACTTTTTATAATTTTTCTGATTTTTTTTATAATTAAACGTGATATAATGAATTTTAGAAACAGTAAGAAAAACATTATTGTATTTTTCATGACTGCACCCCAACCCCAAAATAAGACCACATAGTGAGCCTTTTACTTATTTTTCTTTTTGTTTACATGTACTAACACAGTTGTACATCCTCAAATATAAGTGGTTTGCAGGCCTTGCTAGTATTTGATTTGTTTGTCCGTTTTACGTTATGGCGAGATTTTATATTAATATATTAATGCTTTCTTAAAACAATTATTTTGTTGTTTAGTTTCTTTTATTTACAATTATTTATATTCACTATTTTTTTTACTTTAACAGTGTTTAAACATCTGGATGTGAAGACTGACCACAGCAAAACTTCTGCTGGTAAATTGCACTTCCGAAATACACAGATTTATTTATTTTTTTTTTCAAATACAAAAGATGAATTCAAAATCTGGACTTTAATGCTTTTGAGTTTGTGATTTCATGATTAGTGAAACAATGTCGACCTCTGCTGGTGATGTCAAGTAGCTCAGCTTAAAATATCTAAACATGGTGTGTTATTTTTCTCAAATAACTAATGCTTATCAATCAACGCTGACAGACCCAGAAAAGCTACAGTAAGGAAACGTGGGCAGCATATTAATGTATCCTATTATAAAATCTAAAGGTGGACATATGATGTTTATCTGTCATTTGTTTAACATATCTTTATTTGCTCTGACTACAGAAACAGTTGTTATGACAGCTAGCAAAGGTAGTCATTGAAATAAGTGGCTGTTTACATGAAGTTTTTTAGTCTGATAGTGTCATCTTACATTGCAGAATGGATGTGTATATTCAGATTTTGATGGTAGGTACTAATGAGCACTTTCTCTTTCCACCCACTAACTGCTGCCAGAATTCAGGACTGGAAATGGCCTTGCTTAGCTTTAACACGGTGAAACTACAATGAAGATGAAAAGTAGGTTAATTATAAACACTTGATTTTTCCAGAAATAGTCTAATAATTATCGTTTCAGATTTAGAGGAAATTAACTTTGCTAGTAGAGCAGTGTTTTACAAATAACCCTGTTTGTTAGTAAATGGTCATTAAAATTGGAGTATTGCAATGGTTTTATCACCCAAAAACTTATTTTGTTTACAGCAGTCAGAAATTACACTAGTCGATTTTCTTCCTCCACAGTTAATTAACTGGCGTTTCTTAGCTAAAATGTTGTCATCAAGGATTTTCCAGAAATTTTCAATCGGATATGGATCAGCACTCTGGGCTGGACATTTCATTATTTCAAACTTTAATTGACTGTTTTACCCATTTTGCTTTGTGATAGGGCTCCTTCTGGTGCACGAAAATTGAACTGCTTCTCAATGCATGGGAGAGAAAGATTTTGAGAAGGATCTTCGGAACAGTCTGTGACCAAGGTGAATGGTGGATAAGGAGTAATGCAGAAGTGGCAAACCTGTATGGTTAGCCAAGCCTGGTCACAGAAATAAAGAGGAACAGGTTAAGATGGCTGGGCCATTCAGATAGATTTCCTAAACAGAGAGCTGTTAAAAAGTGTACAAGCTAAAGCCAGAAGGAATATGTCCTGGCAGGCCATGGAAGAGGTAGTTCGACAACGTAGAAGAAAATCTACGTTTCCTAGGACTGCGTGCTTGGAGAAATCGAGCATTGGATCTGAAAGGCTGGAGGGAAGTGGTTGAAGAGACAGAGGCTCTACAAGGGGCTAGCGCTGCTGGAGGAAGAAGAAGATTATGTAGCTTTATAAGAGGCCCAACTCCTCCTCATGAAAACATCCACAAACCAAGACACACCAACTCAATCATTAATTGACTTCTTTACATACTCAAGGTTCAGTCTTTCCCAGTTTGATGGCGAACATATTGTATTCCATTAGACCCAAATTAAACTTTTTTTCCATCACTAAAGTGTACTTTGGACCAGTTTCTCCACATTATCTTTTTTGTTAGGAGTGCTTATAAATCTGCTCATTTAACGCTGTAAAATAACTTCAAATAAGTAGTGACAAACAGATTTCAAAAAACTGTAGGTTTTGATCTTCAGAATACACCATAAACACAAAATATTATATCACAAACAGAGGAGGTGCCAAATGTGATGATTAGAAATCATTTATAAACAGAAACACACAGATGTACAACAGAGCAAATATCAAAGACAAAAACTAGTATGATTTCATCTCCATCCATCAGATATCCATCAGTCTGTGATGTTCTGGTTAGCTGGGCCAGGTCTTGGTGACCCTTAGGTGGTTCAGTTGGTCTGCGATGTATTTGTGTTCAGGAAACTTGGCTTGTCGCTCAGCTTTGATTTGCTGCCACATCCACTCTCGCCTCTGTGCTGCGTGGCCTCGCTCCTGTTCCAGCGTCATGAATGGCCGGCTGATCCAGTATTCATTCTCTGCTTCTTGTTCTAGCCGTTTGATCACATTCCGCTTTATCTGCCAGGTAACAGGTCGTGGTCGTCGATACTTCCCAATCCACTGCTTTCCTGGAATCCCCTTCCGCAACAGTGCTAGAGTCAAGAACATTCTCAAGCTAGTGAAGGGCTACGAGAGTAAAGCTGTGGAAAATACCACAAGCAGTTCAGATGACACAACAGACATTACAAAATTGCACATTTAATGTATATATATATATATATATATATATATATATATATATATATATATATATATATATATATATATATATATATGTATATATATATATATATATAATATGGTGATACAAAGGAAACAATAATTATTACAGGAATTTTGTGAACAATGTGTTTTATGTTATATCTATTGGCACACATTTTGCTGGAAATATATATAGATCATAAACAGCCATTCACTTAAATTTGGCACCCTTGATAAATATGAGCTGTGAATAATAAGTCTATGATAAAAAAGGTGTTTTTGTTTCAAGTGAGTGATAAGTCAAGTATAATTTAATTCCAATAAAAATATACATTTATAAATTTTGCTGTCTTTTTTTTTTTAATCGGAGGACTGATGACTTAATTCTATCAGTCATGTTAATATTAGCGCTTCAAATTTATTACAGGGCTGATGGCTGTTTTGGCTGATGTTATGAACTCAAAAATACCACTCTGCTCACATACTGTTTTTCCATTAAAATATAAAGAAGATATTGCATTTGAATGCAGAGCATAACTATAAAACTGCCCCAAAACACAACAAAGATTAGTGCACTTATGATTAGAATACAAATAAAAAGTGTTTTTTTATTTTTAATTAAAAATGCCATCATGGGAGCCAATAGTCAGTTTTAGCAACTGAATCATAATATGCGTTTATTAATATTAATTATGGTGTCTTTCTTTAAGGAACGATGGACTTATTAGAAATTCCATATTCTGTTTCCTTATGTACTGCTTGATGAACAATATTCATCAGAAATGTGGATTAGTTTTAACACCATTTTACTAATTCTAAAATTTAAATATCTAAATTGCCATTAAATACCAATGAGATGAAAATCAATGTATTGCATGATGTAAATACAATGGGTGGATGGATAGAGGTAAAGTTGGTTTTATATTCGGATATTCAGACATTCACCTAAATAATATCTTTCATAAAAAGTATTCTTTGGAAATTCTAAATAGGTAAATCATATTAGCAGCAAATGACTATCAAAGTACAACATTGTTCACAGTCAAATAAATAGTGTAAATGTTGTTTTCAAATCATACTTCCATGCTAATTCCGATGGAATATTCAAAGTAACATAGTAAACAATATATAGACTGCTAAATGAAAGAATGTGTGAATATAAAACCAACTTTACCTCTATGGTGGATGGGGGAGGATGAGCCATCCCTTTAAAATGACATTCACAATGCACTCATGTCTATGTATATTCTTGGGAATGCCTACTCAGTCTTAAACAGTAGATTTTGTTATTCGTGCTGATGTCTTTAAACCCATAAACAATACACACGTGAACCTATCAAATGTAGACTTATTAACTTACTCGTGAACTGCTAAAAGATAATTCTGACCTTGACATTAAATGGCAAAGACATCAAATCAACAGCATATTAAACAGATTAACAAGCAAAGTTTAAAGATAGCATGATCTAACCTCCGTTTTAAATATCTAATAAGTCGCATTAGCATTGTAACACGTTTAAATGAATCCTAGAGTACATCATACACAACTATGCAGGTAAAAAGCGAGTAAGCGAGTAAAACTGTTCAGGCGATACACAACCAATGTACTCCTAAGAACAAATATCTAAAGATGAGCATCACTAGTTTATATAATATTACTGAGAAGCACAATAAATTACTTACATAATTTCGTCTTCAAATCCACGGCCAGCATGCCGCAAGCAGACGGATTCTGTGAATGTCAGACTCAGGGGGCTGTTGGTTGTAGCGCCTCCTACAGCACCGGCGGTCACAGTACAGTGCGCTCTGCTGGCTGGTGAACTACAAAAACCTGGAAGGGACGCTTTATGAGAGGGAAAGAGCTGCGTTTAGGTAACTAATAAAAATCAACAAAATAAACGTGTATGAATTAAACTACTTAAATACAGTAAGGCTAATTACTCATATACACATATCCTAATTGTTTGCTAACAAATAGGCATCCCATAAGCAGAACAGTGAGTCTCAGATAGGTTTTAGTTTTTTAGTTTTTTATTAAAATATTAAAGATATTTTTTTCGATATTTATCGATTACTTTGTTAGTTACTTTTTTAAAGAAATGAGTAGAAATAATAATAAACATTATTAATATCATTATTATATATTACTTTACGTAACATTCATGGTAAATGTGAATGCAGTTTGTTATTTGTTGAGGTTTAATAAAAGTTGTTAGACATTTTTAAATGATTGTAGCTGATTGCACATCAATGATTCACATCAATGATTCAGTTTTTACAGTTTTAATTTTAATAAAATATTTAATAATAGTATATATTCATTTGTTTATTTATTCATTTTATACGTTTGCAATGTATTGTTATTTATTTACGCATGTATAAAATGTATTATTGTTAATTTTTAAGCAATATATCAAATTACTTCATAATATAACCAATGTATTATTTTGTTTTAATCTGTATTCTGATTTTTGTAATTATTTTATTATTGCAAATCATACAATCATTGTATTTGCTTATTATTAAGTTAATTAATTTAATTACTTTTCAATTGATAATTTGCTATGCTGATGTTTATTTATTTATTCATCTTAATAAAATTCTAGCTTGTTTATTTTTTCATTTAAGTATTTAGTATTTATTTGTAGTTATTTTTGATTTTTATTTTTATTTTTTTGCATTTATTTCCAAACATTTTCACAGCTTCGTCTCCTCCTGACACTAGATCATTTGCAGAACTCATTATTCAGAAATAATAACTACTGTATGCCATGATTGCCCAGTCAAAACAAATAATATAAAAATAAGTAAATATAAAAAAGCAAATCAAAACCATGTTTTATAGTTAAAAAGATCACCTGACAGGAATCTATCCAATCAGCGTTCAGTTTTGTGGCCCGGAAGCGTACTCCCGTTCATGTTTTTGTCGTCCTCTCCAGGTCTTTGATGTTTCTGTGCTGCGGCTCTGGTCGTGTTTTGGTCAGGAGGTGGTGGAAAGATGACAGCCAGAAAGTCCGGGTCGCGATTAGAGACTGAAATAGAGCGCTGTAGATCTGAGGGACAATGGGACAAAATACCAGAGCTCGTGCGGCAGCTGTCGGCGAAACTCATCTCCAACGGTGAGAGTGATTTATCTTTATTTTCTCATGGCTAACGCGTTAGCTCGGACAGTCTGTCTCTCTCTCTGTGTGTGTGTCTCAGGCCTGATGGCAGATCAGTCTGATTCATTCATGGACATTTTTCTACATGTGTAATGTTTCACTCAATGAATACTTTAATCTTAGGTTGACGGAGCTGCGATATTGATGTCCTTTAAGTAGCATCCCGTTCATCTGCCCAGCACACTTCCTGATTGCTCATAGCTGTGTCCATTCATCTTCACAAGTGATAATCATTCACATTTTTGTCAACTCTATAAAGTTATACAGAGTTGCTGTTTGGTTTATTTTCTTGAGAGGATGTGTTGTGGTTTTATTTGTGTTTTCTGTGTTATCATTGCTGAAAACAGTGATTCAGATAGATAGTTAAATAATTGATTGTTGCATTTTCACACTTTAAAAAAAATCAACAACATTAACAAACAGATGAAGAAAAGGATAAAGAAAGAAGTGGAAATGGAGTAGATAAGGACCATACAAAATATTATCAGAGATCACTTAAAACTAGAAGCATTTGAAAATATATATTTATAAGCACAGGACCTACTGTATAGCATTGACACATGTTTGTGCAAATGAACATACACTACAATAACATAAACACTGTAAAATATATTAAAATGAATATCTGACTTGAGTATAATTAATATTTGATTATTATTATTATATAATTTTTTTTTTTACAAATGATCTAAGTTGTTAAGATATAAATATGTGAGGGATATGAACTTTCTAGTTGCCAAATTAACAGTTCTAATTTTCACTTAGTTTACGTTGATGTACTAAATAGGCATGGGCCGATATAAGATTCTGACGGTATGTTAACCTTGGATAAAAATATCACGGCTTCACGATATTGTGATTACTGCTCTAAAATATATTCGTTTTAAATGTCTGAGTAAAAAACATCAACTTCTTTCATTTTGAACACAATATATTTAATTTGAGAACGTTTATAATATTTTGGGACAGTAAACATGTCAGGCTAAATAATTGAAATGAGTCATTGACTTCTGCTGTCTTTATTAGTTTCAAAAACAGATTTCTTTACAATTTAAAACGGCATCTTTGGATATCTTTTCTGCTGGAGATGTAGTTGTCCTAAAAAAATAAAATTTTAAAAATGTATATAAAAAATCTTACACATACCGTAGGAATATTATAGAAAATTAGGGTGGCTTTAAAACTTTGACTTTTTCAAACTGGGGTGTACCTTGAAAACGTTTATCGTCCCATGCCTCTACTAAAATATAAACAATTACAAAACATACATTTAAAACACAGTAAAGCAGGAAATTAAAACAAGCTCTGATTCTAAATATATGAAAACAAGGCTTTGACCCGGCTGAGTCAGTTGTCATTTCTGTCATTTCTGTGTGGAGTTTGCATGTTCTCCCACCCTGAGTTTCCTCTGGGTGCTCCAGTTTCCTCCACAGTCCAAAGAAATGCACTCCAGGTGAATTGAGGAAACTAAATTGTCCGTTTTGTGTTTGGATGTTTCCCAGTACTGGCTTGCAGTACCACTAGGTGGAAGGGCATCCGCTGTGTAAAACATATGCTGGATAAGTTGACGCTTTATTCTGCTGTGATGACCCCTGATGATTAAAGGGCTAAGCCGAAGGAAAATGAGTGAATGAATGAATTATTTGGCAACGTGTAAGAAATTGACAGCTTTCTGAAAAACTAATAGCTACAGACCTTAGTTTAGCTCAAGAACAGTGCGTAGACAGGTTTTCATGGCTGAGCAGTCACGTCCAAGCCTTACATTTAATGCAAAGTGTGTACTGCAGTGGTGTAAAGCACAACGCCACTGGACTCCAAAGCAGCTGAGACATTTTCTCTAGAGTGACGAATCACACTTCTCTGGTATTCTCATGGATGAGTCTGGGTTTGGCAGTTGCCAGGAAAACACTACTTGCCCGACTGCATTGTGACTGCCAAATGTATAGTTTGATGAATAGGGAATTATGGTGTTGGCTTTGACCTTTTAGTTACAGTGAAAGGAACCTTTAATGCTTCAGCATACCAAAGACCGCCAACCAGATTTTAGCAAGTAGGACATGTTCCTGACTTAACATCTATGTTGATCCTGGAACAACATACCAATAAGCCAATCACACTCAAAGCATACGCTTATGGTACGTTTAGGCTTATGGTTAGGTTTATGCACTTCTACCTGATTATTATCCACTTATTATTGCCCTTTGATTTTGGCATAATTTACAGTTATGGTTGGGTTTAGGGGTAGGGAATTGGTATGGATTACATTTTCAAACTAAATGACTTTCCAGGATCATCATAGATGTTAATCCAGGATCGCATCATGCTGGGCAAATTCATGATGTGCATACCAAGACATTTAGGGTAATTTCATGCTCCCGACTGATCCAAAATGAACAAAGCAACATCCATACAGACATGGATGACAGTTTGGTGTAGAAGAATTTCACTGGCCTGCATAGAGTTCAGATCTCAACCTGATAAAACACATTTGGGATGAATTATAATGGGCCTTCTATATTGAGCAATGCCTTCTCATCCAACACCAGTGCCCAACCTCAGAAAATGTTCTTCTCAAAGAATGCTCCAAATTTTACATAAACACACTATTAAACTTTGTTGAAAGTCTGTGATAGCTGCAAACAAAGAGTGGGCCAACTCCATAGTAAACCCTACTGGTTAAGGTATGAATCTCTTTAAATTTCGTCTGCACATAAAGGCAGATGACTCCAAACCTTTGGCTATATAGTGTAGTAGAAATGTGCACAGCAAAAGACATGCGAGTTATAGGAGACTGTTCTAAAGTCTGGCTTGACGTTAAAACACATTCATACAACTGTGTATTACATTGTTAATCTTTACAGTTTATCCTGTTTAGAGTTTAGGTATGTGTAATATTTATAATATTAATAAAAGTTATGAATGAGTCTCATACAAACTGATAAATAACGCAAGAACTCATGCTGATTAAACCACACGTGATTGTTCTCAAAGCTGTGTGTGGTAAGACTTATAAGAATGTGTTCAGGTGAAAGACTGCATTGTATTTGGACGTTTATGTAAAACTGTTTTCTCATACGGCACTGCTCTCTAACACTGTTTGTGTTTTAACCTTGCCGTGCACAAATTGTTAAACACAAAAGTAAAAATTCTGCCCTTATTTTGTATTTGATGCTTTAATATAAATGTGCTTAAGCTTTTGCTGGCTGTCACTTAACAAAATATAAAGTTCTGATGGTAAAAATGTCATGAAACCAATCTCCAGAGTATAGCCCTGGTGTGTGATTGCTACCTCTTCGGCTTGAGTTGATTTGAATTCATCTGTATCTTCTCTTGCAGATGATCTTGGGGAACTCCTGCTGGGGGAGGCCAAACTCCAGCAGTACCTCAAGGAAAACCCCATCAAGCAGGGGTCAAGTCCACGTGGGCCCCGACCACGACTCCAGGAAGTTCGGAAACATTTGACGGCTGCACTAGATCGGGGAAATTTAAAGGCAAGCCTGAATAGTCTGGATTATCACTTCTTTTTGCTGCATCAGTGTCATGTTTCATGAAAATACCTTTCAAATGAAACCAAAAAGAAAAATGAGGATGCATTTGTCTTGTTGAATTCATGTTGACAACACTTTGTTAGGCATGGGACGCTGTGCAGCTGTCAGACATGTTTGTCTAGCTAATATGTACTGAAAGGAACAATGGAAAAACAGTGGGGTGGAATACAAAGGCACATTCTGTATCAAGTCTTCAATAATTTTTAACATTGACATGTAATTAATATTTAAAGTAATGTTTAAATTAGAAAAAACAATTCATCAAATAGTAGTTACGATATTAGATGGAACTATATTAGACGGCCTCATCACAACATAAATTTCACAACATCAATCTCAAAAACTAAAGTCTAAGCATTAAAAAGTCTTAAATCTACTGAAAAATTATCTTGAAGGTCTTAAATCTTTTTAACAGGTCTGAATTTTCCGTTGCTCATGTATTCTTACCCAATCTCCATAAATTTACTACTAAGGAAACTGACCAGACCTATTTTTTTATTACTAAATTATGATTATTATTGGTCTTGTATTATTAAATGTGTTCAATTATGATAATTTTTTGATCGGGCAAGAGAAAATCTTTTGCAACTAAAATATTTTTTAAAAATCCTTAGTGTTTTGCCTGTACAACTTCAAAATTTTATTCATAATGGTCTTAAAATGTCTTCACAAGTCTTAAATTTAACAGGTGAAACCTGCAGAAACCCTTTGTTAGGATTCAAATGAAGTGTTCAAGATACTCCAGTGTGCATTTAATGGACACTTTAAAGTCCTTTAAGGGCCAGTCAATGGCAGTGAACAAACACAACTGATGCTAGAAGGTCACATGATAATGACAGCATGGAAGTGGAAGTATGTCTGCACGTTACGTTAATGCTACACTTTCACACTTCACAGTACATACTGCTTATGACTAGGACCACATAGGATCTGCAGCCAAAAAAATCCACAGAAAACTCTTAAGCCCATATTTCAATTTATTTATTTACTTATGGCAATGTGTGTAAATCGATATTTACTCAAAGTTCTAAATTAATTTCAGTAATTAATTAAATAATATGAAAATGGTTGGATGATTAATATGATTTGTACAGTAATATTTTTTATTTCTTACAGTAGATTTATTATATGAGACCTGCTGTAACTTTTATCAAACAACTGCTTCTAAATAATTTGCATTGTAAACCTTAAATAAAATACTTTTTTATTGACTTTTATTTATTTATTTTGTTATTTTTTAAGATAAGGTTTCAGCCCCTATGCTCTCAAAATCATTTCATGCAAATCCAATTTATTTATTCTTCTACACAGAAATGTCTAAAGAAAGTCTGGCGCAGTTTATGATTAATAAAACAGGATTTATTTAAAATATTAACTTATTTAATTATGAGTGTGCTATTTTAGATAAAGCCCAGTTGATTATTAATTATTTGATGTGCTAATTAAATCTCAGTCTGACCATTTGAAAGCAAATATTGTTTGTTGTCAGTGCAGTCTGCAGTGTCATGAATAGGGTGACCAAGCACCCCACTTTTCACCCCTTTTCCTGCTTGCTGCTGACACATAGTAAGAGAGTGCAATGCATTTTCATCAGTCTGTTGTTTTTAAGTGTTTAAGTGTCTTAACTTTTTTTAAAAAGCGTTTATTTTTGCTGCATAGTTTTGCCAAAGAGCTTTGTTAGAAGAAACCTACTTCACACAAATACAAAGTCATTAAAATAAATAATCCTATATAGTGGTTACTAAGATAAGAGTAAACATGTTCGCTAACAAGCTGTGATGACTGTCAATTAAAATGTGGAGCGGGTGATTCCCTGTGTTCCCTGTCAGAAAACAAAATGAAGCATTTATAGATATTTTGGTAAAGTAAAAGCTACTTAGCTTTTCAATATCATCAAAAAAGGAGAGACTGGATCAAGTGCTGTTGAAATGAAATGACATGTTTGCAAAAAAAAAAGTCTTGTTGCATCGTGGTGAATTGGTGTGTTCTAGACGGCACTAAATAACAAATTATTTTTACAAAGTGAATATAATTAATAATATTAATAATAATTAATATTTGTTTTATTTATTTATTTATTATAATATATATATATATCAGGTTGTTTTAGTGTTGATAACTTGGAACTTAGTTATTGTCCCACATTTGGTTTGTATGCTGGTGATCACCCTAGTTTTTCTAGCAGCGTTTTAATGTTTGTTTGTTTTTTTCTGACAGTGTGATGCATTAATTGAGCTGTATTTGATTTATTTATTTATTTTCCTCCTAACTTTATTTATAGAATTTTCTATATGCACAAATCACACATTTTACATTATTATTTTACATTTTGATATGTAGAGAGCGAAGGAAAGTAAACAAGGCCCCAAAAGATTGTGACAAATATTGACCCCCAAATATATTTAAAAATGTTTAGAAAAAAATAAAAATACATAAAAGAATTTGTGTCAACCAGAACAATTGTTTACAAACCAAATTAAAAGCCTGGTCACAATAGCTGTCACACAATAGCTGTCACACAGTAGCAAATAATGCAAAATAGAAACTATCATCCAGTATTTATGGGGTATATATTTCCATATATTTAAGGAGAGAACCCCATATTTTCTGAAAGTTTCTATTAGAACCCATCAGATAGTGTCTAGTTCTTTCCATTTTTATACAGTGAAAGATATTAATCCACATGCAGTGAGTAGGCTGAGCAGATGACTTCCCTTGCATTGTATTTGATTTATATAAGCGTCCTGTCAATAATAATGGGTCATTATTGTGTATCTTTCTCTGGCAGCCTGAATACATGCAGGAGGCCAGTCTGATCATGGCTAAGCTGTGCTACGTGGAGGCGGATTACAGGGAAGCGCTGAATCAGTACAGCCGTGTGAATCTGGATGAGATGCAGCTGGTGGGAGCTCCAGTCTACAGACTCTCCATGATCGCAGAGGCCTATGCCACTAAAGGTAAATAATCGCTGTAGTAATACAGAAAGCACAGCATTTTCTCCTCAGAGCTGCTGGTCTGTTACATAACAGAAATGCTGTCGGTGTGAAGGTACAAACCCGAGCCTGCTGTTGTCGTTATGCTGCTAATTTATGCACTGCCAAACAGACATAAGTATTCCAACTTGCTTTTGTAAGGAGGTTTTGCTTAACAAGAAGCGAAACATAAAAATTCTGCAACCAACTACACATTTCTGTCCCTGATGAAAGCAAAGTGCTGTACAAAGCAACAAAATCATGACCAATTACAAGCAGTAGGATATTTGATATTCAGTGGTCACAATGATACAGTATGTGGAGTGGCAGCAATAACAGTATGAATTCTATATAGTATATAATAATATATAATATTCTATATGAAGTTCTTTAAAATAAATTTCTTTTTAATTTTTTAACCTTTTATTCAGCAAATGATTATTGTTGTTGTTTTTATATGATTATTTTTTATGACAATAATGCAGATTATGATAAAAAATTAAGAATTGAAGAGTTCAAATGCAAAAAAGTGCCATCTGAATTTTTTCTTCTAAAATTAGTATTTTTCTCAGCCTCCAATATTTTTGTGCAGCTATTTCCCTTTAAAGCCAATGCAAGGAACCTTTTTTTTTGTCAGAAAAGTGGATTTACTGAACATACACACAGGAGCTTGCCCATTTTAGAAGAAAATATTTAAATGGCATTTAGAGACTTTTGCATCTGAACTTTTTAATTGTAGCCTTGATGCAGATAAGACATCTTTTAAAAATATTTTTTTAAAAATTACTCCTGGCATTTAAACAGTAGTATATATAAACGTATTAGGTAGCACTTTACAATAAGATCCTATTAGTTCATGTTAGATATTGTTAAAATGTTATTATTGTATTATTATTATTATTATAATATGTGTTATTGTTATTATTATTATTATAATACATGTTATTATTGTAAAGTGTGAACATATTATTTATAATCTTTGACATTTGTCCAATTCTAAAAGGATTTTAAAGGCTACATGTGTTTAAACTGTATGACAAAAAAGTGAAACTGTATAATTGTGAAATATTACTGCAATTTAAAAAAAAAATGTCAGAGTGTAATATTTCACAATAATATAGCCACAGCTACATGACTCTGCAGCCCAAGACAGGTCACTCACTGAAGCTAAGCAGGGCTGAGCCTGGTTATTACCTGGATAAGAGACCGCATGGGGAAAACTAGGTTGCTGTTGGAAGTGGTGTTAGTGAGGCCAGCAGTGGGCGCTCAACCTGCGGTCTGTATGAGACCTAATGTCCTAGTATAGTGAAGGGGATATCATACTGTCAGTGAGCTCTGTCATTTGGATGAAAAGTTAAATGTTAAGCTAAAAGTTAAATACTGATTCCCTGTGGTCATTAAAAATCCCATGGCACTTCTCATAAAGAGTGGGGCTGTAACTCCGGTGTTCTGGCCAAAATTCCTCCATCTTATCTTACCCATCATGGCCTCCCAATCATTCCCATCCACCAAATTAGCTCTATAACTGTCTCTCGACTCCACCTATAGTTGGTTTGTAGTGAGCGCACTGGTACTGTTGTTCTATGGCTGCTGTCTCATCATCCATGCTGCACACTGGTGGTGGAGTGCGAAGACCCCCCTCTCATGATTGTGAAGTGCTTTGGGTGTATATCCATACATGATAAATGTGCTATATAAATACACATTACTCACTTACTTATTTTAGCTTTTAATAATTATTTTTGAATGCTCCGGTTTCCCCCACAGTCCAAAGACATGCGGTACAGGTCAATGACTGTGGGTGAGTGTTTGTGGACGTTTCCCAGAGATGGGTTGCAGCTGCAAGGGCATCCACTGCGTTAAATGTGCTGGATAAGTTGGCGGTTCATTCCGCTGTGGCGACCCCTGGATTAATAAAGGCACTAAGCTGAAAAGAAAAAGGAATAAATGAATATATTAACCAAAAACAGATACCACCGTCTATGAAAATTACTATAAGAATACCTTTTTTACCTAAACTACAGATGCTGCTTTTATTTGTTTTAAAAACTAACAAGCAACATATCATTACCATTTCAAATAATTTTTTTTCTATGTAATAAAAAATATATGAATTCAAGGGTGACACTGTGGCTCAGTGGTTAGTGGTTTGAGTCCCGGCTGGGTCAGTTGGCATTTCTGTGTGGAGTTTGCATGTTCTCCCCATGTTGGTATGGGTTTCCTCCGGGTGCTCCGGTTTCCCCCACAGTCCAAAGACATTTGGTATAGGTGAATTGGGTTGACTAAATTGTCCGTAGTGTATGAGTGTGAATGAGTGTGTGTGTGGATATTTCCCAGTACTGGGTTGCAGCTGGAATGGCTTCCACTGTGTAAAACATATGCTGGTTAAGTTGCCGGTTAATCCTGTGGTGGCAACCCCTAATGAATGAATGTAAATTGACTTTATTAAAGATTTTATTATTTTTTTAATCAAATAAATCCAGTGTATTTCAAATATAAAATAAGTTATATATTATAATATAAAAATATAGATTATTGAGTATAAATATTAATTATTTTTAAATTAATTAATTAAGTTTTATTTTAGAGTTTTTATTTACAGATATTTGTTTTCCAAGTGCAGCTAAATTCCATGGATTTGCGTCACGGATTATTGCAGCTCACATTTTGTCCTGTGGGTGGCAGCATTGATTTAACGTGATCCTCTCTAGAGAAAAGTGTTTGCAACTAAACCCTTTACTCTGAACAAACACGCACACACACACACTTTTAATTCCAAGCACAGTGAATGTGTTTGCCAGGGCCGCAGCATGAGGTCTTTGATCAGAGTTCTGACAGACCGGCGGTACTGTTGGGCTCTGGGGGGAAAAACTACAGGGTGGCACTGAGCCTGTCTCATCCAATCACCTCGCAGCATCTCTGTGACTGACAACTGCTTCTCCTTCAACCCTAATCATCCATCACACACCAACAACCACACACAAACACATTTTCCTCCCCATCTCCAGTGTATATTAAACCCTCGGCCTGAATTATAAAAATCTCTTTTGTCACTTCGTCAGATTTACAGCGGGTCATTAAAGAGCGGGGCCACGGTAATGGAGCTTGTATTGGATCTAGCTAGTATAAGCTACAGTATAAGAAAGGGGGATGTGTGTGTGTGTTTTAGAGGAACACACTGAATCTGTTATCTGTATCAGGACAGAATTGACTGTGCCATTTCCAGAACTTCTAGATCAAGTTCAGGCTTCTGATGTAGAAGGTCTATATAAGGTAAAGGGATTTACAGTATGTACAAACAAACACACACACTCACTCTGTCTTTCTCTGGCTCATTCAGCTTTTCATGCTTTCTTTTTGAGCATTGGTGTTACCAAAAAAATCCTTCTGCCATGCTTTTGTTCAAAAATGGGTTAGATTGTTTTGTTTCTAATGCTCACCAAGACTGCATTTATTTGATCCTAAACACAAAAAAGTAAGGTAACACTTAGGGCTGCACAATATATCGTTTTAGCATTGATATTGCAATGTGCGACTTTTGCTGTAGTCACATCACAGGATCGACTTGGAATTGTAATTACCTATATATAATAACTTTAACTGTTAAAAGCTAATAGTTACTAGATAATTGGTTAAAGTTTAACCTAACCCCTTAACCTAACCCACATTCAAACCCTAACCATATAGTAAGTGCATGTACCTAATAAATATTACTCGAGAGTATGTAACAAGGAGCCCATTTCGTAAAGTTAATCCAAAACTAGTATTCTGAAATATTGTTATAATTTAAAATGCACAATTCCCATTCTGATTTTATTTTCAGACATCATTTCGAAGCTGAATTTTCATTACTTCAGACTTCAGTATCACCCTGTCTTGCTGATTTGTGTTCTCATAAACTTTTAATGTTAATAAATTGAACGCATTATTGCTTGGAAGACCTTTGGCCGTCAGTTGGGCTGCACAATATATTGTTTCAGCATTGAAATCACAACTTGTGCATCCGCAATGGTCACATAGCATAGATATGTAATGTTGAGTTAATTATATTTAAGCAAGAGTCACAATTCAGAACATGAGATTTGTGGAGTCACTGCAGGGTTTACCTTAATGTTTTTAAGGCCTGAGAGAGATTTAAGTATTTTAGGCGCAAGACATTTTAAACATTTGGAAGTTAATAATCACAAATTAAAGAATAATCACAAAGCACGCACTGCTTATTTCACTTTTATCTCTGCTTTAATTGATTTATCATGATATTTATTACATTTTATGCATGATTCACTCCCCTTAAAGAATCATTACATTCCAAATGTATACATTTGGTAACACTTTAGGGACCAATTCTCACTATTAACTAGTTGCTTGTTAGCATCCATGTTATTCAGATATTGGTTGCTTATTAGTACTTATAATCTACATATTCTGCATCTTATTCTACATCCCTAACCCAATACCTAAACTTACTATTAATAAGGAGCAAAATTCTGAGTAGGGGTGGAAGGAGTACTGAAAAATCATACTTAAGTTAAAGTACCATTACTTGCCTAAAAATGTAGTGCAAGTAAAGTAAAAATATCTGTTAAAAGTATTATTCAAAGTATGAGTAAAAAGTAGACTTTTCATAAGTACTCAAGAGTAGTGAGTATTACGCTGTAAAAAAGCTGATGCACTTAAATCTAATTTGTGGATGTGTGTAAACGTAGCATTCTGTAGTGCATTTAGTTATTGCTCAGCAGGCACACAAGCTCATAAGGCATTAATATTAGGTTAGATTTAGGTCTTGATGTCAGGTGACCAAAATTCAACGTCTAGCCAGCGTCTTAGGACAACGTTATTTTGATGTCAAGTAATGAAAGTTGATTAGTTGATTTTAGGTTGTGATAGAAAGTGACCAAAATTCAACATCGAGCCAACATCTTAAACCAACATCATGTTGACGTCAAATACTGATATTAATTCGTCAGGTATGGCAACCAAAATCCAACGTCTGATAGACGTCATAGTGGTGACGTCCACACAATGTCAAGCTGTAACATCATGTTGCTTTTAGGTTGGACATTGGACATTGATGTCAGCCTGACGTTGGGTTCTGATGTCAACCCGATTTTCATTTCCAAACAAAATGCAACGTCCCCACGACATTGGAGTACAATGTCAATCTGACGTCATGTTGACGTCTTGTACCTGCTGGGTGTTTAAGGCCATTTCAGTCATCATACAGTAAACATCCGTCATCTCATCAGTGACATGCATCTAAACAGTCTCTGAGTCAGTGGGTTGAAAGATTTTGGACTTCTTCTTTTGGACACTTTCAATTTTAAATCGCCCATGTCTTGAGGTAGTTCATTATGAAGCGATTTACCTTATATGTGCAATTTGATTGGACAGGAATCACAGGACGGATTTTTCTCCATAGACAAGAAAAAATAAAGTAGTGACTGCAGGTTGAAGGAAAGTGGAGTAAAAGTACAAATACAGCATTAAAATGTACTCAAGGCAAAGTACACATTTTAAAACAACTTAGTAAATTATAATTTCTGAGAAAAAAAAAAAATTTGACCTAAAAATATTTGACTTAACCTTAAAATAAAGTGTGACTAAATTCTTTCCAAATAGTGCTATTCAGTCATTTGGTGAAAATGTATTTATACAGTAAATGGCAATATATATGTCACAGAAAAATAAAATATCTCAATGTCAGATTTTTCCAATATCTTGTAGCCCTAGCCAGCAGTGTATATATGAAATAACCATTTTAACCTATGTTTTATTCCAGTCTCTTCCTGTCTTACTGAGGCGTCACAGTACACCTTTTTAATCAGGCCTTAGTCGTTACCTTCTTACTCGTGATGGATTATTCGTCTCCATTTTCATTTCGTAATCATTTTGTGACTCTCCACCAGTTTGTGTTCTTCATCATTCGATATCCGTTCATAAGCCGATATCTATTATTGAAGCCATTTGAAAAGTAGTTAGGAGGGCTACAGTTTCTGTTTCCTGTCACATTGCCATACTGTCATGAAAACCTTATCCGCATGGAGAACCCAATACTAACGGCAGCCAAACAAACAACTCTCATCATGTTTACCGGCCACCTGAGCGCCAGGTCTGGCCTGTTTTCCCTGAGCTATGAGGGGTTTAAGAAGCTGAAGCCAGTCGACAGAGATTGGCCAGAGATTGTGTGACATCTCTAAAGGACCGTGCTTGTACCTTTACCACGTTACTTGGCTCTAGATTGACCCAGACGAGGCAAGGAGATACGGCAGTGGAACAGACAGAGGCTCGTGCTAAAACATTTAAAGCTTGCTTGGTTTGTCTGAGGTCTTTGATTTTCTCACACATGTATATTTCAGAGTCTCACTTCCTCTGTCCAACAGCAACAAAGGAAATGTACTCGAATTATATACACACGGCGTATCACGTTCAGTTTGACCCTTTCAGATTGAATATCATATCCTGAAAGTTAGGATCAAATCATTACGGTGTATTTCTGTAGTAGATTGGATTAGAATTGACAGAAGTGCTGCGTGTTTCTGAAACGCAAGCTTTGTTGTTGGTTTTTATGCTACATCAGGCTTCGCGTGAGTAATTTCTGTGGCTCAGGAGAAATAGAATGCAGATATGATTTTTATAGGAATGGGGTTGGATTGATGCCAAAAGCCCGTGGTAATGCATATTGGTATTAAATCGATAGCTCAAGCAAACAAATTAACATCCTCGGATGACCTGTGAAAGGAATTCAGATGACAGTGTTTATGACTATTCTCAAAGTATCATTTTTCAAACGTTAACCTTTTTTAGTAACATTAAAAATTCATATCATATAAGATGTATGATAAATATGATAAGATAATAGACAAACAAATGAGTATTTTATTCTTACATTTAACTAGCATTAATTTTTTTTTTTTTTTTAAATGTCTTCTTATTTTCCAGTGGGGTATATGCACATAGACTTTTTATTTCAGTCAGCCAGCACCAGGGCATCCGATTAATTGTCATCCCATACAAAATCGCTATGTTTATGATCTGATTTCTTAAAAAAAAAATTTAAAAAAGGCGATCTTTACTGCCTCTTTGAGATTTGATATAAAGTGAGTATTGAACCAAACAACAAGCACTACATTAAATTAAAATTTCTGTGCCGTGTCTTTAAAATATGTAAATTAATTTTACCACAGTATTTTCAGTGGAATTCCTGTGCTCGCCTTGCTGTTAATAACGGCGCCTGCGTTTAAACGGCCTTTCGTCTCTTTATGCTTTAACAATCAAGTGGAACTTTATGAATTTTTTAAAAAATCAAGTGACATAAAGCTCTCACTGGAAGTTCATCATTGGCTGAAAAACACTACCTGTGCATATAGCCCATTGGCAAAAACTAAATCACTCTGTGCAATCAATTATTTTTCTGTCATCAGTTAAACCAAAATATAAATACATACATACATACATACATACATACATACATACATACATACATACATACATACATACATACATACATACATACATACATACATACATACATACATACATACATACATGCATACATAAATAAATATGGCCAGTAAAAAAAAAAAAAAAAAAAGTATTCTATTTAACACCTGTGTGGAGCGGAATTTTTAACCGGTAAGATAAAAAAAAAAAATTTATTTGTCGCACTCACTTAATCAGAACTGTGCAGAAGTGTGTGGTGTTTTGTTTTTATTAAGTGATCATTCATTAATGATTAATAGGTAATAATGTTCATTTTATTAGTTAATGTTAGTTATATATTTACTAGCATGAACAAACAACGAACAATAAATTTATTTCAGTATTTATTCATCTTTGTTTTGTTTTATTCATGTAAGTCAATGAACATTAGCTCACAGTGCATTAACAAATGTTAACAAGCACTCTAAGTTTACAGCTCTTAGTTCATTCTTAGTTCAGAATGACAAAAACATTAACTTGCATTAATTCACTAATTAATTTTCCTTTAGCCTTTAGTCACTGATTTATCAGAGTATTAAAAATTGATCAATCGATTATGAGAAAATTAAGGCCCCTCAAAAGGTATAAAAAGTCTTAATGGTATTTTTGCAAGGTCTCAAAGTTTTTCTTAAAGTGTTTGACTACAAAAAAAGCATAAATATATTTATTTTTCTCCTAAAATTAACAGCGTCGTGCTTGATCCATGCAATTGGTTCGGGCCGGGGAGTGTCCGGCCAACCTCTGATCTGAGTTTTTTTGCATGGTTGTGCACCATTGATTTATTTAACTATACAACTGATTATTAACAACTATTTGTTAAGGTAAAGGCTTGATACTGATTAGGACTTAAAGTGGCGATGAGGTCTTAAAATATTTTGAGAAGGTCAGCAACCAGCAACCTTCTTACTGTGTGGTGACAATGAAAAAAATATATACTAAGGGGTGTAAAATTATTCACATTTCAAAATTTTCAATTTCATATTAATCTTGTGTACATATAGAGTAGCACTGCATCCATCTTTTCCAAAAAAAAGTCTTCATTCTTCATTTTCTTTTTGGCTTAGTACCTTTATTAATCCGGGAATGAAACGGCAACTTATCCAGCATGTTTTTACGCAGCTGATACCCTTCCAGCTGCAACCCACCTCTGGGATATCCAATAAAGTCTTTAGTTTTGTAATACTTTTAAAACCAACTACAGCTTTCCGAATATCTCTAGAAAACAACAGATTCTCTGTTTTTCCCCAGGTTAAGCAGCTCCTTGCTTTCATGTAGTTTAGGAGAAGTTGATGAATTGACATGTTGTAAATCCAGCAGCTCTAATCTCCATGGCTTTTTGTCATAAACAGACTTGTTGCCATGAAAATATAAAAGTGATTAGTTATAAATAGCAAACAATTTGGAGATCAGCTGAAGTTTTTTAAAACTTTAGTGTGAATGGGTTAAACTAGCAATGGCTAAAGTAGATCAGATTTTTCTCACATCTAAAAGCGCACTTTTTCGGATTCTCAGCCAAGCACTGCTGCTGGGTGATACTCTAGGTGTGCTGTAATGCCTGTGAAACACAGTTTTCCAAAAGAAGTGCTCATAAAAGGATCTCCCTCCTTGGTAATGTAACAAGAACCAGACTCAAAAAAAATTAAAATGATGAAACTCATTATGACCTGGGAGTAGGATTTTTGGAAAAGAAATACTCTGTTACATGAAACTCCAACTCTTTAACAGCGTAAATAACTCTGAATGCATTAAATAGCATTTCGACTGCTTTAAAAATTTAGTTGCACATTTAATTCCTCATGGTACTGTACAATGATGTATTTATAGTACTGTTCTACCACAAAGCCCTAAAAGGGAAATAAAGGTTAACATATGAATTATTCAGGTCATCTTTATTGAACTGAGCTGTCATAAGTCATAAACTTGCCTATGAGTCTGTCAGTGCACTAGTATAGCTCTGTGGGTTTGCTTTTGCTTGCTTCTGGCATGTGTGTAGGTCTTCTCATCTCTCTGCTGTGTGTTTGCAGGTCTTTGTCTGGAGAAAGTGCCCATGGCGTCTCCATCACTGTCCAACAGCATTGCAGACAAAGACCAGGAGATCATCACTTGCTATGAGAAGTCTGGAGACATTGCTCTGCTCTACCTTCAGGAAGTTGAAAAGGTATTTCCAAACATTATTTTACTTCAGTTTTTTTTTAAAGTCATCTTCTGAAAGGCTGTAAAGTTACCACATTATACTGTTTATATACTGTATATTAAAGATTCCTCATTTTGTTTTGGAGTTCTTTTACAATAAGTTTGCAAACGCAGAACGTCAAACAAATTTCCGTTTTATTGTTCAAAATGTGCCAGACTAGTTGATGTCGATTAAACAAAGCTGATGCTAATCAACGATACAATTTTTTTTTCCCTTTTGCTTTATGATTTTACAAATGCTACATTTATATTTTTTCTACAGTTGAAATCAGAATCATTAGCCTTCTTGAATTATTAACATTACTGTATATTTTTCCCCCAGTTTCTTTTTAATGGAGAGGGGATTTTTTCAATACATTTCTAAACATATTATATTTGCCATGATGACAGTACATAATGTTTTAGTAGATATATGTCAATATACTAGTATTCAGCTTAAAGTGACATTTAAGGCTCTATTTTAGCAATCTAAGTGCAATGTCTACAGCGCATGGTGCCAAAGCATTAAGGGCGTGTTCGAATCTGCTATTTTAAGGGTGGAAAAATATGCTTTGCGCACCGGCGCATGATCTAACAGGGTTGTGCTTAATCTCTTAATGAGTTATGGGTGTGTTTTGAGCATAACATGCATTAAACCAATCAGATTCTCATCTCACATTCCCTTTAAGAGTCAGTTGCGTCATGGCCCATTTGCTGTTCACATGCGACACATGGCGGGCTTTGTAAGTGGAAAAACTGAATGCTTCACTCGCGAAAAAACAGTTTAAGAGACCAGACCATCTCCAATTTGCCCTCTATACTTTCTCTTTACTTTTACTCTTTACTTTACTCCTTTACTTTCGTTAATAAGAAAACTGTGTTGTACGCACTCCACTGAAGACATCCATTAATCTACATATTTCATTTCTTTGATAAGCGCAAATATTTGTTTCTAAATATTTCTAAATTCAGTTCAATTTACAGTTATATCCAAACACACGTCCTATTCTTATGCCCCTTATAGTGATGCATATGTCTCCAAACAAATATATATAAATATATAAAAAGCAAATATAAGTATGCATATAATAAATAATACTGCGCATAATAGTATTATACAATTGCAAATTGTCATGAATAAACTGAAAAAAGCCCTCTGAGCTGAGGCATTGAGGCAGTGGTTTTTATATTTATGTAGTAAATAATTTTTGTAACATTTTAATCCTTAATCCTGACCTGCTGTCAGCTGGTCAACAGTGCGGCCTATTTAATTTTTTCAAAATAGCAACGCGCCAACAATGCGCTTTAGCACACCTCCTTTTTAGACCGGAACACTCATGAGTCCACAAATGGAATTGCTATTTAAACAACTTGGTGTAAAGCGTGAAAATTAGGGTTGTGCTGGTCTCAAAATAGCAACAAATTGCGCAAAACACGTCTTACGCCTTATTGCACCGGGTGTATGACAGGGCCCTTGAAGACTTAACTAGATTAACCCTATAGGCAAGTTAGGGTAATTAGGCAAATTACTGTATGGTTTGTTTTGTAGACAATCGAACAAAAATATTGTTTAAGTCATAATATTGACTTTAAAATGGTTTTTAAAAAATAAAAAATGTAAGTAAAAATAATTATAAAACAAATAAAACTATCTTCAGAAGAAAAAATATTATAGAAATACTTCGAAGAATTCATTGCACTGTTAATCATCATTTAGAAAATGTTTGAACAAGTAAAAAGAATTCACATGAGGGCTAATAATTTTGATGATTTTAATTGACATTTAGTTTTTCTTATTCAATTTTTCTCTTTAATGTGATCTTTGAAACATTGTAGACCTTTCACAGTACATTACACACAACATAAAAGGTAATATCTGAAAAGCATAATAAGGGCCCTTTAAAATGTACATTGATTTTTGTTGCTGAGGACAGATTTGCACAGTACTGCAGCGGAGGGTCAGCCATCCGTGAGACTAATCTCTTCCTGTCCCACCTGTGAACCTTAAATCACAATTAAAGTCTTTTACAGGTTAAAGTTCAATCTCCTACAGAACAAAGATGAGTCTCTGTCTTCGTCAGAATGTTGTCGCACCACTGATTCCCTTTGTTGGAATAGTAGCGCACACATTCATCCCTCTGTACGGTGTTCAGTATTTACTGCTTGTGATTTAGCGTTGGTGGTGAAGGGAGAGAAAGAGAGAGAGAGAGAGAGAGAGAGAGAGAGTGAATGATGGCAGGAGAGCAGGACGGCAGAGCTTGTGTTCTGCTGCAGTGTTGACACTGCATTTTTTGGGTGCAGCTGAAGTTTTGCGTTTGACCTTCACGCTAGGGAAACTTGCACCCTGCTAACCGCCGTCCTCTGAGGTGTTCCCCGGGTAAATATAGCAAACACTTTGACTCTTCCCTCATTTTGAAAATGTGTTTGCTGAGTATGTAACAGGAAGAGACAAGGAAAGAAAGTTGAAGCTGTTCTGACGAAGATATTAAATGGCATATGTCTTGTCTTTAGGCTCTTAGTGCTGGCATTCAGAACCGCAGTCCAAAGCCCGGCCCGGTCACACAGGAACAGGAACTTGGCTACTTCCTTGAGACTGGACTTCAGAGGGCTCACGTCATCCATTTCAAAAATGGGTGAGTGTGTGTGTGTGAAAGGGGTTATACTCACAGTAACTATGTTTGATTTACATGTGTATAAAAGTCAAAAGATCTGAAACAAACAGCGGATCATTGTTTGATGTGAATTGGTGGTTGTTGAGAAGGATAAAATGTAATATGTAAGTAATAATATGTATTGTACTATGATAGTTTTTAATTTGTGTGGTTGTCTTATTGTGTGTTGCTATTATGTAATTATTGTATTTATGTCACCAGTGTTAAGGACAGATTTCCTATCTGTGCCAAGGCACAGGCAATACAGTTTAAGGAAACAAACTAATATATTTCAATTATTGAATGCATTTATAGCCCAATTTTATTTATAACCCATGCATAAAACAACAAAATCTACATAAGCTTGGCTTGACTAAAATATTTTAAAAACATAACATTACCTGTCTAAAAGAAATACTTCAGCCATAGTGTCAACCTTCCTCCAGCGTGAAACAGTAACTCCAATATTGATTCAGCATTTGTTTTTACCGCTGTCACTCTCTCTTGTGTGTACGTGAATTGTTGACACAGTTTGGGCTACTTATCAGAATTATAGGAATTGTCTACAAATTTTAATTGTATGAACCAATTAAATATAAAATTATTACCCAGAATATAAAATACATATAAATACTTTTAGATCATTTACTTTAATCATTACAATTGGAATGTGAAGCGATTTTCAACCAGCACGACAAAAAATGTTTCTGAAGAAAATAACCTACTGCATCTTTATTTTAAACACACATCAGATATCATGCATTTTATAATTTACATAACATTTTATAAGCTTTTTGATTACTAAAATATAATGTAACTATTAAAGTACGGTCTAGAACTGTTGAATTACAACCTGACTTTTTAAATAATCATATAAAATGAAGAAAATTTGAAAATTTAAAATACAGATTGATTTCTTAGACCATGTAAATTATTCTAATTTATGAATGCATGTTTTAAAAACTGATGTGAACAAATCAATGAACCAGACCTTTAAATTGATTCATTGAAACTGACTAACCAAGCTCTGACATGTCAAAACTAGTTTAACTTTTGATTAAAAAAAAAAAAAAAAAAATAGTAATATAAAATTACAAGCATGCGTTTCTGTCAAAAAGAGACTTTCGCTGTTTTTTCAAACTACTTATTTAAAAAAAACAATTCTTGAATTGTTTTAGGAGGCACAACCTAATTGTTTTATGTTCAGTCTACTTAAATTTGTAAATGATCAAGTTAACTTAATAGATTTGTGTTGGGACAACATGAAGCAATAGTATGGAGCCCAGCATTTTTAACAATGTTCTTAATATTACTGTTTCTAATATGGATTTATGTTTTCTATATACAGCAACACTCAAAATATCTCTCAGCTTTAGCAGTATCGCAGCACTCAGTTATGATTTACAGCCTTCCCTTAGAGACGGCTGAACAATGGTGTCCATTCATTTATTATTCCTTCAGTTCATACATCCCTTTTTTATCCTTTCTGTTTGTAAATCCCTTTTTTCCTCAGACACAAGCAGCAACGAATGGTGTAGGAATCTGCTAAGCTTTCTGTCTTCCTACATATCTGCCTTTCTTTGTGCTTTTAATTCTGTAAATGCTTCATTAACCCTCGGTAGTCAGTCTGTGTATGTGCGTCTCACATTGTTTATGTGTGTTCCGATGCACCATGGAGCTGTGTGTTTGACAACTACTCGTACGTATCCACACACTCTGTTCATGTAGAGTAGTGCCGTGCTTTTACTGTAGCAGAAACATAGGCTAGGCACACTCTTGAAATGAAGGCTGCACGATTATGTTGTATTCAGAATTCGGATACTTTTTAATATGACATACATACACTTTTTGGTAAACACACATGATTTTAATGGATCAAACTCATACAGTATTTGCATTTGTGGTAAATTTACTGCTTTTAACATATTGGGAACCAACCATAACATATACTGTGTTTATAATCATTTATAATCATCCTAATACAGCATATAGAGTACTCAACATTTGAAGTAAATGCTTTTTTTATTGTCCTAAGACAAGAATGAGTGTTGTTCAATAATTTTTGGACAGCATTTATGAGAGGTTTTAATCCACTTCAATTGCTGACTACCCTTTATAGCAATCTTGATAATGCTTGTTCTCTTAATATTACCTAGAACAGAAGTTAAATAAAATAAAATTATAAAATAATAATAATGGGCGTCACGGTGGTGCAGTGGGTTGCACAATCGCCTCACAGCAAGAAGGTCTCTTTTTTGAGCTCCGGCTGGTTCAGTTGGCATATCTGTGTGGAGTTTACATGTGCTCTCTGTGTTCGTTTGGTATTCCTTCGAGTGCTCCAGTTTCCCCCACAGTTCAAAGACATGCGCTATAGGTGAATTGAAAAAGCTAAATCGGTCATAGTGTATAGGTGTGAATGGGTGAGCTGGAAGGGCATCCGCTGCATATGCTGTATAAGTTGGCGGTGCATTCCGCTGTAATGACCCCCAATTAATAAAGGGACTAAGCTGAAAAGAAAATGAATGAATGAATGAAAATAATAATAATAATTTAATAATAATATTAATAATAATAATAATAATGATAATAAAATGTATTTAATTATTTATTTATTTATTTATGTACTTACTGTTTTATATTTAATAAATATATAAAAACATAATAAATTTTGACTTATTTAAATTCACAGTGCTCTCCAACCGGTCCTTTTAAGTAATTGTAATTAATAATGTTATTGGGTTTCAAGTAAATTAATTTTAAACACTGTTTTTGTGGATTTTAGGAAATTTTAACATGTACTAAAGAAATCAAAACCAAACATACAAAAAAATGCAATTTCAAATATATAAATAAATGTTTGTAATGTACATACACATACAATATGTTTTACACAGCAGATGCCCTTCCAGCTTCAACCCAGCATTGGGAAACACCCATACACTCTTACAATCTCACACGCACTCATACACTAATGCCAATTTAGTTCATCCAATTCACCTATAACGAATGTCTTTGGTCTGTGGGGGACACCAGACCACACAGAAACTCAAAACCAGTGACATTCTTTCTGTAAAGTGACAGTGTTAACTACTGAGCCACCGCGCCGTCCAGTAATAAAATTATTAAACATAAAAAATATACATTTAAATGGGTTTTACTCTCACATATGCATTCGCAACATTTTAGCATTAAACTTTAGAGAGGTCACATGTAACTGCAGTGCGAGTTACTTGGTATTAGCCCAAAACAAAAATGACAGAGATGGAAAATGAGTGAAATGAGGATAAAAGAGAGCTAAGCTAAACACGGAGGACCTCACAGGTAGATTAATCTTTTGACAGCTGAAATGTGATTTTGTTTACTCTGACAGGTCTGTTAATTGCAATATAAGATAAAGTAAGTAACGGACCTAGTATACAGTCAGTCAGTGTCTGGTCAATGTAGTCAGTGGACGTCTTTTTGTAGGAGTCATATAGGTTATACATCTTTGGTCCCATTCTTTCATCCGTCTCAGTGTGTTGTCTTAACCATAGATGCATTTCTTCTCTTTTTTTCTTTTCTTTTTTGTTTGTGATTTGCAGCCCTTCCACATGCCAGTGTGAGGTTTGGTTTTTGTGAAGCTCCATCATTTATTTATTTATTTGTACAGTGAGCGTGTGGTTGGGGAGGGATCTTCAATATGGATGCAGGTGGGGCATCTGTCAGTGCTTGAAATGCATCTGTTTGAAATATGACCACTGCAGTGGTGCATTGTGGGTAATGCATCGGTTGGGTTCATAAATGAATGATGATGTCTTTAAACCTTACACAACAAGCAGTTCTTACAAGATGATAAATGTTCGGTCTGTCCCTTATGTTTTAAAACAGACTGATATTTAAAGGGGACCTATTATGAACATTTGATAAGGGGTTTAAACACTGTTGTTTGGCAGCAGTGTGTGATTATTCCCAGCTTCTTATGGTAAAAATGTTTAATTCTATTTTTTATAATCACACTTCATAAAAACAGTCTGCAGAAACACTTTGATTGACATTATCCCTTTGTGTGTGTGTCTTGCAAGAGGGAAATCCCTTCCCCTTAGTGATGATCTTTGCCATATCAGCCTAAACAGCCCTGAGTGAGAAGCAGCCATCTGCCATTGGAGTTTTCACCTGATAAACATAAAGTCAGCAATTAAGGGGCATTATAAATGTTTCCAGATGCAAGACAAACACTATACTTTATAGACTGCCTTCTTCTTAACATTGTCAGGTTTTCAAAGAGATAACATCAGTCCTGTTTTGTATCTGCTATACTGTTTTGGTAACTGTCGCTTTAAATTCAAATGAATTTAAAGCGACAGTTACCAAAACAACACAATTTGGATCAAAACAAAGCATAAGATTGGGGGGGTGTCTTTATATTTCTTATTTATCAGTTTTTCCCAGACCTTCCTTAAAATTTCAGTTTTTTCTCAATTATCTCAAACCACTGTTTGCATTTCTACATTAAGGCTTTAAGCCAGTTCATTTTTATAGTTTTTTTTTTTTGCCACAAGAAGAATCTTGCACAAATATTGGTCACCACTGGGGACAATGTCCTAAATATCTCTATTAATATCTCCAATATACAAAAATAATGCAGTTCTGGGAACTCTGCATCCAAACACCTCAAATATAAAAATCTGCGCATCATCCCAAAATGGTTAAATTTTTTTAGGGGGGTATTTGGAGCTGAAACTTCACAAACATACTCTAAGGACACCATATGCTTATTTTACATTGTGTAAGAATTAGAGTATTAAATTATAGCTTAGTGTGTTCATATGTCTGTTATTGAAATCCACTAATAACTAAACTCAAGCATTTTAAATGTCAAGTAAATTTGGACATCAGCATTATAATGTGCATTATCAACCTGAATATTCATTTTGCATTTAAGCATTGTTAGGAGGTTATTATTGTGAACTGAAACATTAGGACTTAAAAAATAGCTTGAAATAAATTCAAATATACAAATATTCAGCTAGTGGCGAAGGAAGTAGGTATTATTTATATTTTGATTATACATATTTAACTTGATGTACTTAATTTAAACTAAACAAGACATTAAACAAATAAAATTATGTTGCGAGTTCTAAAAAATGTGCCATTAGCCCATCCAGTACTTGGAAATGATAGATACCTATTAATTTATAATCATAAAAATCCACATGGCTGTGTTTGAATTGTTGTTTGAAATGACTACTTTACTATTTAATTATTTGTTTTAGCTCTGTTTTCTTCTGTCCTAATGACCAGACAAATTGGCCGAATTTATCACACTAGGTTGAAACGCCTTGTATTTACTGAAGAATGATGTACCTCTAACATGTAATCACTGTCAAGCCTACCTCACTGTAAAACACATTTTATTGGTATGTGACATTTAAAAAACTTCTAGATGTGTTTTTTATACTCTGAGCACTTTAATGAGTGCTTTAAAAAATCACCAGGAAAATGTTTTTGTTATTCAAGTCAAGTCAAGCTTTATTGTCAATCAGCTACATGTGTGGACATACAGAGGAACAAAATGTAGTGTCTCGCAAGACAACGGTGCTACATAAATTAATCATAAATACAAACACAACACTGGACATAAGAGCTATTAAAAAAACCTATGCATAACTAACATATACTATAAAATACTTAACTATACTCTTAAGACAGGTACTTTTTCATGAGACTGAACAATGTTGAGCTGGATATTGTGCAAGAGAGGTATTAAAGGTTTAATATTGTGCAAGAGAAGTATTAAAGGTTTAATATTGTGCAAAAGAGGTATTTAAGGTTTAATATTGTGCAAAAGAGGTATTTACTGTAAGGTTTAATATTGTGCAAGAGTTATTTAAGGTTGGAGCAAGCTGTGCAACATGATTGTGGTACACTTATAGTAAGCATCATTTTCATTATTGAGTTATTGTTAGATGGAGTTTAAAGTGTCAGGTGCACAAGAGAGAAGAGTGTTTCTACGTGTGGTTTGTCAAGCCCACTCACCTAAATGAAACACTATTTAAAATGATATAGGCTGCATTTACACTGCATGCTTCAAGTGACTCAATTCTAATTTATTTTCCCCATGCGTGATAGATCAGATATGGCCCATGTACTTGTAAGCAGAAAAAAAAAATTACATGGATTCCGATTTACTCAAATCAGATTCAGGTCTTGTTCATATGTGGAAATTCATCCTATTTGAATCAGATCTGTGTTCTCATGTCTGCAGTGTGAGCAGGTTTGTCAGATTTTCACCTGTCAATGCGAGTCGCTCATCATTAAAAACAGTAGAGAATAACGTCAACTCTGAGGCTTTCATTTCAGAACAGACTTCAGCAGTCCCAAACCCAAAATATAGCCAATATAAACTAATTTAAAACTGTTGCATATGTCACATGCATAAATCATGCCATGGACAGTACATTAAGATGCCTACTGCTTAAAAAAAGGCCTAGATTAAAAAAAAGATGACAAAATGACAACTTTTTCTGTCATAAACTATAATAAAATTCAAAACAGTGGAGAAAAAATTGACACAGGAATGGAGAAAAGAACGCTGTTTTATTATCAGCTGTCACTCAGCGCCCGCTCTTAGTTTTTTTTTTTTTTTTTTCTCACCTGGTCGTTGCATCTTTGCCGTGCACAATGTAGAGGCAGTCAATCAGATACCAGTCATCAGAATTGACCCTCCAGATCTGCAGTGTAATGGAGTGATTGAGAAAGTGTCTATAGTGCAAATGTACAACCTGGCGCAAGAGTCAGAGAGATGAGGTGGTTTGTTAAGCCCACTCACCTGTATGAGACATATCACAAATTGATCTGAAATATTAGATGTAATATTTTTAATGTAATATTTTATTTATTTATTTATTTTTATTCTGTATCATTGAGATATGAGGTTATTATTTTTTAATATTGTTTTATCTGAATGGATCTTGCCATGATTTGCTAATGTGGCAGGGAATAACCTCAAACTCTGTCTGTCTGTCTTTGGTATCATCGCTACTTTTGTTGCTTGTCTCTCAATACAGCTTGTGTACTCTTGAGAGAAAAAGAAGTTCGGTTTCTGACTCAAATGAATCTCGGTCTGATTAAAAGACTGACCCCAGTTAATGACATACATCACATTGAGAGGTTGTGCAGTGTTCATAAAGGTGGTAATTCCCTATATAGAGAATTACTGTAATCAATGTGCCCACAGGCCCCGATAGCTTCCTGTCCACCGATGAGTAGCTGCTTAGTCTGAGTGCGTGATAGTAGAGCTCATTAAATCATGGCCTGTCCTAGGGTTTTCTGTGTGTGTTTTCAGGTCTTTGTGGATGATTTAGATGTGAAATTGTTTATATTGGTCATTGTGCAGCTCTCTAGAGATGAATAATGGATCTCTTTTCTCTCCTTTTCGTGGTGCTGCAGTAACCTGACCCGTGGTGTTGGACGCTTCCGAGAGATTCTCCGTGCCGTTGAGACCAGAACCACTCAGAACCTGCGTATGGTGAGTTGTGTGTCTGTGGGTGAGCTGCTAGGTTTGTTGGGTTTGTTGTCTTTGTTCACAAGAGTGGTTCTCATTCTTTGTCACTCCAAAGTCCTCCTTTATCTAAGATGAAATTCAAAGGCCTCTCACTTCTCTGTTAGTACCAGTGTCAGTATATTGCACTAATTATAATAATGATATTTCAACATTTTGAAATTTTTAAACTACTTCATGACTTTTCCACTTGTTTATGATTAATTGAATATAATTTGTATTTTTCTGGGCAACACTTTAAAATAATGGTCTATTAGGGAATGTTAGTTATCGTAAAATGAACCAACAATTAGTAATACAATTACTATGGTATTTATTTACCTTCGTTAACGTTAGTTATTAATATGTAAATTAAATAACGCTAGTTCGTGTTAACTCACTGTGCATTTGCTAATGTTAACAAGCGCAATTTTGGATTTTAATAATGCATTAGGTAATGTTAAACTATGAATAATAAATGCTTTACAAGATTATTCATACATAGTTTATATTAGTAAATACATTAACTAACATTAACTGGACCATTATTTTAAAGTGTTACTTTTGGTTGTTCCCATCAAATTAAGGTAGTGATTTTATATACATAATGTGTTCAATGTTAGTGGTAGTAGTAGTTCAAGTAGCTTTTGTTAAAATAAAATGTCCAAATATGGGGGAAACCTTCAGTATTACTGATATATTACAATATATAATAGAGGCATATGTACATTATTATATACATGTTATATTTATTTAAAATATAAATATATATTATTTACTTTCAGTATATACAAATCAGAGATTAATCGTAAAAAAGAATAAACTTGAGAAATGCAAGTGATCCAAAATTTAGAAAAGAAAAGAAAATCATCAAAAAATTATATAATTATTGCTATTTATTGAAAGGTATTGGGGGACCAAGATTTTTAAAAACAGAAAAATCATGGGATATTTCCTCTTTGTTTATATTTTTTATTATTTTTTAAGCTTAATTTAAGTATGTTAGTGGGCCCTGGCCTCCTAGGTAAGAACCACAAATTTACGACAAAGACATTTGTTTGTGTATGCTGTTTGTTTAGACTATTGCCAGGCAGCTGGCAGAGATCCTGCTGAGGGGCATGTGTGAACAGAGTTACTGGAACCCATTGGAAGACCCTCCTAACCAATCGCCCCTGGACGACCCACTCAGACACAGCCCACACGCCAAGGACTATGCCCTAAGTCGCCGGCCGCGCATCTACTCAGGAGAGAAGTATGGAACATCTCCAGCTCTCAAAGCTAGATTTGTATTCTCTCATCTGTATACTGTCAATCTGTATTCAGTGATTCATTCGAATGCACCAAAATTTTGATTAAAAAATTTCTTTGTTAAACACAAACCAATATAAAAGCTTCAATGCCCATTCGGAGTAGCCCATTTTCATGGGCGTTGTAATATCCCTTCGCCTTGTGCAGCCATGGTACTGCAGAGTTTCTTGACTATTACACCAGAGTGAGAGCATAGTTTCTTGCAAATTTGGTTTAGAAAATAGTAATTTCTCGTTATTTGTCAGTTTTATTACAGAGTGTAACTACAAAAGACTCAAGCTTTACATAGAAAATTTATCAACTTTAAAAAAAAAAAAAATTTTTATGAAATGTTGTTCAAATTCGTTTCATTTCATTATGCTAAGCTAAAAGTGATTTCACCAGAACAAGAAATCGTCTGAATAGATCAAGTCAACTGTTTAAATCTAATAGACTACTAAATTGAGTTTATTTTCAAAAGCTGTATTGTTCCTTTAAACATAAAACTTAATATATTTTTAGCCTGTTGTCAAGTCTGCTATTTCTAAAGTGCTTTAAGCTATGCAAATGATATATTATAATTATAACAATTTCCACAGTGTCAATTGTCTCATTTTGGCATTTTTTTGTTTCTCTCCAGATGTTCTTAGATAAAATTTTTTCTGATTGAAATTTCTGATGTTATACTTTTACTTAATTTTATTTTAGTTAAAGTATTTCTAAGGCTAATTTGAGGGTGTCCACGGGGTCTTAAAAAGTCTTAAAAAGTCTTAAATTTTGTAAACTGAATATTTTGGCCTTAAATGGACACATATATTCTGTTTTATGTCTTAAATCATTTAAACAGGTCTTAAATCCATCCAGTCACCAGAAATCTATATCAATAAAACTTTACATCACGGGTGTCAAATCCAGTTCCTAAAGGGCCGCAGGTTTGCACAGTTTAGCTTTAACCCTAATTAAACACACCTGATCATTGATCAAACTAATTAAGTCCTTCAGGCTTGTTTGAATCTACAGTTAAGTGTGTTGAAGCAGGGTTGGAACTAAACTGAGCAGAGCTGCTGCACTCCAGGAACTGGATTTAACACCTGTGCTTTACATGATTATCCATTTATATAAAAGCTATTTACGGAAATAAGAACGAGTAGAAATAATACTTATAAACAGGTATGGAACTTATGGTTTTATTACAGAAATCCAGATGGTCGAATAGGAGTTAAATACTCAATCCATTTGAACAAAAAGCCATCAAATATATATGTTTGATCATTCTTGTAATTGTGTCCGTATTAAATATACTTTTAACAAGGTTAAACTTGTCATTAAATTGAAGAGAAAAAGTATACACCTAGAGTTTTCTTGTTTTGACACGTTAAAATATATGGCTAAGGATTAACTACATTTGTTTTTGTTGTTCTTGTGGAAAGCAAAAGATCAACTCGGCCATTAGAAAAAAAAAATCCTTGATATTTAACTCTGTATATGTCAATTTCATTCATAATGGTCTTAAAAGGGTCTTAAAAAGGCTTACATTTGACTTGATAAAACCTGCAGACACCCTGAATTTAAACTTATATTTAGGTTACAACACATTTCTAAAGTATTGTGCTTCATTAAGCAGCCAAATTAAAAAAAACATAGCCAGCGGTTTTACATGCCTAACCCTGCATTTATGAAATCATGCGTGGGCTAATGAGTCTTCTGAAGTACAATTAAATAAGTACTCAAATCAGATTAAAGTGTTTACATGGTCATTTTTTGCTGTTTTATTGAATTAACAAAACAATAAACTCCCTTTCCAATTCATTGGAAATTTCAATTAGATTGATCTCAGTCGAATCATGTTTTAAAAATGTTTTTGTTTTTGAATGAATCATCAATCTGATTACAAACTGATTATTTGGGTGCATTTAAACCAGGGGTGTCCAGACTCAGTCCTGGAGGGCCGGTGTCCTGCTGAGTTCAGCTCTAACTTGCTTCAACACACCTGCCAGTAAGTTTCTAGTATATCGAGCAAGAGCTTAATTAGATGATTCAGGTGTGTTTGATTAGGGTTGGACCTAAACTCTCCAGGACACTGGCCCTCCAGGACCGAGTGTGGAGAATACTGATTTAAACATAACCATTTTTGAAGAACGTATGGTTGCTCTATCATCCCCAACATAAAAAAGGAAAGAACAGATTTTAAAAATATGCTTCACTGATGGAAAAAAAAATCATGATAATCCTTTTCCCTTTCTCTCTAGTTTGTTTTGTCCTCAGGAGAACACAGAAGAGGCTTTACTTCTGTTGTTAATCAGCGAGTCTATGGTGAGTAGAAGTAAAAGTTGCGTGACCCTCTGAATATGTAAATGAAGGCTGCATGGTCTGACACTGCAGGTTTTACCTTATGAAAGGCCTATTATTATAGTACTGAAAGCAGAGCTGAAAAATCCGAGATGCCTTTCGCTTGAGCACAGCAGAAACTCCTATTGAGTCTCTCGCTCATGTGGCTTTTCTTCAGATTTCTTTAAACCGACTGTTCAACATTACAGGGTTTGAGTTCAGCCGTAATGAGTTTGTAGTCTGGCACAGTGCGATCAAATGGTGCTTTTTTTCTCTGGAAATAAGATTTTAATACTGCAGAGTAGCTGGGTAATGTTACAGAACATTGTATTTCAAATGAACATCCTGTTAATTAAAAATCCGGAAGAATGTTTAATTGTTTAAATCAGCCCATTACAATGTTTTCTGAAAGATTTTGAGTATTACACTGGAGAATAATATCTCGCTGCTAAAGATTCATTTTGAATATAAATCCATATTTAAAAAAGGATACATTTTTCTCACATATAAAATATCTGCCTACCTTAAATTTTGAACAGTAGTGTGATGCAGGAAATGTGTTTATTCATTTCAACATTGTTTATAGGCTAACAGAGACGCTGTTTTGAGTCGAATCCCCGAACACAATAATGACAGAATAATCAGCCTCCAGAGTGCCTCTTTGGTGTACGACCTGCTGACCATCGCACTGGGCCGTCGGGGACAGTATGAGATGCTCTCAGAGGTGAGGTTCTGTTCAGAAATACTCGGTGCACCTCCTGGTATAGTTGCTGTGGTAACAAGACCAGACCTGTGCTGTAGACTACCCTCTTTTTGTGTGAATGTGTGTGTCTGGGACTTGTCTGGAAATTATTGACAGTCTCTATGCCAGTTTGGGAGCGTGTAACAAGCCTTTATTATTAGTTCTAAAGTTATGCTTTAGATTTAGCAACAGTGGATTGTATTGATGAACTGTAGTCTGAAAGTTTTAACTGTGGATTATTAGATAATACACACTCAAGGGGTTTACTCTCCGTGGTCTATTATTCCATTTTATCATAACAGCATAACGTAACGTAACGTATAACTAGGGCCAGACAGAATCTGCTTTTTGCTATTTCTGCAGAAAATTTTGTAAAAAATCAGCAGATTTATGCGTAGTAATTTTAGGAGTACCCTAACTAAAAACTATATATATGAAATAAAAAATAACACCTTTTTAACATTTATTTAATGTTTACTATGCAAATCCAATTAGATCGACTGGTCCATTGGTAAACAAAGCAAGTCTCATAAAACGTATCTATTAAAAGACAGAAAATATTACTTTCCGAACGGTATTGTGAATAAATCATATAAACATTTTAATATTACTATTATTATATCACAATAATATTAGTGAAATGACTAAATATAAATATAAACGGAAAAAATATATATTTACACACATTTACACATGTAAATAATATATAAACTCGATGGGCTGAAAATCTGTGGATTTCTGTGCGCAATGATTCTGTGTGGGCCTACAAATAACATAACATAACATATTATGGATGAACCAAAATGGGAATTATGTCATAATACCTAAAATTTAACTTCCACTTGGTCAAAATCCCAAACGACAATGATTAAATTTGTTGTTATATTATTGTTTGTATTAATATTAGGCTTTTTAGTTGCATTAAATGTAATATTATGATGGATGGATTGGTGGATAGGTACGTAGGTAGGTAGGAAGGTAGATAGTTGGATGGATAGATAGATAGACAGACTACATGGAAAAAAGTCTTGTCGCCTATCAGAAGTGACTTGATTTTTTGTTCAGCAGAATATAAAGTCATGGTACAGTGGAAAAAGAATTAATATAGTGTATGACTCCCATGAGCTTGGAGGACTGCATCTATACATCTCTGCAGTGACTCAAGTAACTCATTGATAAAGTCATCTGGAATGGCAGAGAAAGCGTTCTTGCAGGACTCAAAGAGTTTATCAAGATTATTTGAATTCATCTTCAATGCCTCCTCTTCCATCGTACCCCAGACATTCATCCAATATTGTTCATGTCTGGTGAATGGGCTGGCCAATCCTGGAGCACCTTGAAATTCTTTGCTTTCAGGAACTTTGATGTGGAGGCTGAAATATGAGAAGGAGCGCTATCCTGCTAAAGAATTTACCCCCTTCTGTGGTTTGTAATGTAATGGACAGCACAAATATCTTGAAACCTCAGGCTGTTGATGTTGCCATTCACTCTGCAGATCTCTCACACAATATTGAATACTGAATGTAACCCAAAACCAAGACTTTTCCTTTCCCAAAATTGACTAATATCTGTGAGAATCTTGGGTCCATGCAGGTTCCAATAGGTCTTCTGCAGTATTTGTGATGATTGGAATGCAATAAGTCAAGTTATTATTTGCTGTTCTTACAACTGTGATTGACAACAAGACTTTTTTAGGTAGTGTAGACAGACAGACAGACAGACAGACAGACAGACAGACAGACAGACAGACAGACTGACTGACTGACTGACTGACTGACATTGATTGATTGATTGATTGATTGATTGATTGATTGATTGATTGATTGATTGATTGATTGATTGATTGATTGATTTAGAACTAACCCAGTTTCAGAAGTAAAGCAAAAGTTTGCTTGTCACAAATTTGTCATAATTAAACCACATTTAACTTTCTACTTAAAGTTTTCTTTTAGCCTGAAATAAGTGTCCTTGTTTTTTCCTTGTTTGTTTTTTTAAATATATAAAGCATGGCCTATTTAAGACAAACCAGCCCAACAAAGAACATCGCTTGTGTGTGTGTGTGTGTGTGTGTGTGTGTGTGTGTGTGTGTGTGTGTGTGGTTTGTAGCGTGATGTTTTCATTAGCGTACCTGAACAGATTTTTCTCTGTCATCTCCATCTGTTGATCACGCTGTTGTTGCTAAAGTTGGACTCAGCATAACTTTTGCTGTGTCTTTTATATTCAAGGATTTTATGGTTGTGCAATCACCGGGCCCCAGGAGTCTGTCATATTTTGTGTGTGTGTCCTCTGCAGGGTCGTGTGTTTGAGTTGCTGTTTGTTATATATATCTAATTGCTCAATGAATTGCTCTGTGCTAAGCTGTTGGTGTGATTAACTGTAAAACCTCAGAGACGTGCAGAAAGCCTGTGGCACTGTGGGTAATCAGCAGGAGACATGGCCTGGCTCTGTGCTTGACCTTTGTTTGTGTATCTGTTGAGGGTCCTAATTGTTCTCAAATCCTATCTGAGGTGATCCTTATGTGTCCTCTTCACAGTGTCTTGAAAGAGCCATGAAGTTTGCCTTTGAGGAGTTTCATCTTTGGTTCCAGCTAGCGCTCTCCCTCATGGCTGCTGGGAAGGTTAGTTTTGACTTTTTTTGTCTTCTGTGTGTGAAACCAAAAGTTCCTTTGCTCATAAAAATTTCAGGCAGTTAAGAATTCTTTGAATCTGCAGTTTATAGTTAGTTTTAGTCTGGAAACTACTGACAGTTCTTCCAAATTAAATATATATTTTTAAATACTTTTCTTGGCATAAAATAACATTTTCAGAAATGTTTTTATTAATATTAGGACAACAAAATAGAGATGTTTTACATACCTGTAAACCCTCCAATTTTTGCCAGCATTCTCCCGTATTTTACCATTCTATCATCGCATTTAAGTATTTTTCCATATTTTCCCCATATTTTTAATCTTTCTATGAAAAGTGAAAGTAGCATCAATCTCAGATGTGATATAATTAATGTGATATAATAAAGAGCTGTTCAAGAGAATTGTGCTGTTGCTTTGTTTTGGCTTGAAAGCACGTCGAAATTATTATTAAAATGGCCGCATTTACTTTATTTCCATTAAAAGCTATGTGTCGACTGTTGACTTTCCTATGCAACCTCTGAATCAGTCAAATCATGTGTCAGTGCTGACTGACGGACATGCTCCTTATAAAGACACTGTTCCCAGATCAGCTACTTTAGATAGAAGTGAAAATGGACACTTTATGATTTGGGTGAGTTTTTAAACAGACCAATACACTTATTAATAGGCTATGTAAACATGTCTGTTCTGGCGTATTTTGTTTCAAACACAAATAGTTTATACTTAAATGAGCATAAACAGTTACAAATGTAATTAAATTATTTTGTTTTGTCTGTTATCAAACACAAGAGTGTATCAAAATGAGAAATTTGCCGCTCTTCACTAAATAACTTTAGAAACTTTTAACAATATTTAAACAGTGAATAAAAATGGACAGGTTTTTAATTTCTCACATAACTAATTAATTTATGTATAGGCCATTGATTTTAATAGTCTATTATTTATTTTATTTTACCTTTTATTTTATTTTCAATAAAAGTTTGCAATTAAAGTATCCCGTATTTTCCATCCCAATGACAGGTATGATTCAAGTTAATGTTTCAGTTATTCTGACCAGTTTTCATTTTGATGAAGCAAACAAATTGCCCTAAATGATAACACTTATATTCCAAATTTATAAGAAATGTTCTCAGAGCTTTGTAGAATAAACGTTTATTAACATTTAAAGTTTCCACATGTCATGGAATTTTATGTTTCATGGCATGGGATTTTAAATTGGTCTATTCCAGACTAAGCATGGAACAGTAACCGGTTTTAAGGTTTTTAAAAGTCAATGTTTTAAACCATTAAAATGTTCTGCTATACCGTGTGTAATGTGTTTTTAATTTAAATGTTTTTTTACAACTATTTTATTGAGTTTTTAGGGCAATAGTATATTCAGCAGAAAAAGACCCCCTAGATTAAAAAATACTAGTCAGACCATGATTCAGGAAACATCTGAAAAACAAATTGCTTATAAACTAACATCCAAGCCTGCTGTATATCTGAACAATGGCTTACTTTATATCTAATGAAAATACATTTAAAGATATCCAAAGATGCTTAAAGTTTTAAAGAAATTTGTGTTTTTGAAATTAATGAAGACCGCAGAAATAAATGATTTTTTTTAGTTATTTAGCCTTCAATATATTTAAAACAAATGTTAAATAATGTAAAATAAAATATATTTCAATTTGGAAAAATGTTGTTGTTTTTTACCCTGACATTTTAAAAGAACATATTTCAAAGCAGTAATCACTCATGAAACCGTGATTTTTAATTTTTTTTTCCCCAAGGTTATCATATCATCAGAATCTTATAACGGCCCATGCCTATTCCAGATATTGAACGTCAAGAATTTTTTTTTGTCCAAGTTATGATGATATTTATTAATCCATTACATTTATATCTTTCATTTAGCAAAATTTATGATTATTACATTCAAAAATAACTTTTCTCGAAATTTCCTATAATGTAAAACAATATTTGCTGCATTTCTTCAGCGTTTTACTATGAAATATATTTTTAAAAAATGACACATTAGTTCTTCATAAATTTTTTTGACCTCAAGAATCATTGGTCTCTGTAATTTATGTAAAGGCATCACTAACAGAAACAAAGTCTTAAACCTCTTAAGCATATAAAGCCTGCTCCATCATATTTGATGGATGAATCTAAAGCATGAAAAACTATTGAAATCTATTCAACTGCAGCATTAAAAATAAATCATGTTAAGATTACATATTTTAGTGATCTATTCAACAAACATAGCCTTGTTCAAATGGGCTTCGGCTGAATATGCATTGCAGTAACGTCACATAACACATCTAAAGCGAGTCACATACTGCTGTGACTTGTCTGTGACAATTTGAGGTATCACACACCAGATGAGCACTTTCTATATGTAGATATAATGTTACTTAATGTAAAGCAATGTAGAATTTGAACAGCATCTTTAATTACAGCAATCACAGAGTTGTGAAATTCAGGTTTTTAGTCATTATAAGTCAGGGAATTTGATATTTTATTTAGAGTTGGAAATCTGAACATTTGACTCGCATCTAGTAAATCCAGAGAAACTGAAATGGTCTCTTGCATTTGATCTTCTGTATCACCTATAAATGACTCTAAATGACTCAAAAGCCTGTGTTTGTGTGTGTATATAGTCGGCTCGAGCAGTGAAGGTGCTGAAGGAGTGTATTAGACTGAAGCCAGACGATCCCACCATTCCTCTGCTGGCCGTCAAGCTGTGTATTGGAAACCTGCACTGGGTAATGAAAGAGGAATCATGAGAAATATGCACAAGATCAACTGGAGAGCTGACACTGACCTGTTTACGACTCTGAAAATCCATTACTGTTAGACTGTCCACGAACAGTGAGGAGGTGATGACATGGGGTGTGTATTTGTGTGTTTTAGCTGGAAGAAGGTGAGCGCTTCGCTAAAATAGTGATTGATATGGGTGAGAAGGCGGCTGAATTCAGGGCTAAAGGCTATCTCGCTATTGGTCTCGTCTACAGCCTGAAAGCCACAGATGGTAAGTATAGCTGCAGTAGGACACACTGTATATATGCAGAGTTACTCTATTAGATGACACACTTTATACACACAATATTCTGTTTTGATCTGAATCTATTTGATATAAAAAATACTTTGTAGCATTTTATTTTATAGTCCTATTATATTCTTAACATAATCATTACATAAACTAGGTAATAACTAGGTACTGTCCCTAAACTTACTTATTACCAGGGCCAGATGAAATCTGTGGACGTTTTTTGCTATTTCTGCGGCGAATTTTGGTAAAAATCTGTGGATTTCTGCGGAATTATTTTGGAAGTATCCAGCGGAGTATCATAACTTAAACTCAATATATATTATTAATAAAAAGTAATAAATTACTGAATAAAAACTGAATAAATTCAGATTTACACATTTACCCAAGTAAATAAACAGAATTAATAATGGGCTAAAAATCTGCAGAAAAAAGCGGAATTCTGCGGAAAATCTGCGGAATTCTTCGCGCGCAGAGTCCGTGTGAGCCTAGTTATTTCCCTGTTTATGTAATTATTATTAAAGTAAGAATATTGTATATGTAAAACAGGACTGTAAAATTGTCTATAGACCATACATTGTATTAGATAGAGCACAAAATGGATTGAAGTTCTCCATTCAGCTCTTTTCAACAGAATCAAATATATATATTTAATTATTTTCTCATAGTTTTCATTATCACAAATCTGACTACAGAGTACATTTTATAAGAAACATAAAATTTATAAAACTATTTATTTTGGGTATAGAGTGTTATAGCAAAATACCCCTGAACCTAACCTTAATCCATTTTGGTACTTCATATAACCAGCATGTTTTTTTTGTTTTTTAACATGGAAACTACACATACTTTAAGGCAGTGTTTCCCAACCCTGTTCCTGGAGGCACACCAACAGTACACATTTTCAATCTCTCCCTAATCAAGTACACCTCAACTCATCAAAACATAAGGGCTGTTTGTCAATATGCGTTCTTCAGTGGCCTTGCGTCCTGGTGTTCTCGTGTAACATCATCATCAACTGCCAAAGTTCAGTTCCAAAACTCAAGATTACAAGAACGGAGGACGATTTTAAGTTCCGGGATGTGTTCTTGATATCGAGGACGCATCGATGCAGACTTGAGCGCAAAACTTAGTCGAGAAGTCCCAGAAGTCATTACGGCTGAATAAAGGAGGTGGAAAGCGCATCATTTTATATAGGTTTATTCAGAGTTCAGAGATTTATCTCTGGAGTTTCCCTAAATGAAACGGTGAAAGTAAACATTGATATTAAAATCTTTATAAAGGCAAAAACACATTCAGCGTGTTTATTTGCTGAAGTTCATATTAAAATTTTATTTGTATTTTTTTGTGTGTATAGTATATATATATTGACAATGGGAAAAACAATAAATCGTTGGATGAATGCTGTAATTTTCCATTAAAAACGTGTGAAGGTCATATGACCATCATGAAGAACCAGGGAAGAACACAGCATCTCATTTCTCAGAGGACACGTTCTCTGTTTTCACGATGTCCCGAGTTTGTTCTTCCGGGGTAACTTGGTAAGACCGATCTCCACAAGAACACAAGTCTGTGCTCAGCGTTCTTGGAATTGAGAACCAGCCAGGAAGAGCCTCCAAAACCTAAAGTTAATGGATCAGATCCAAAGGGAGATATCCAAAATATGCACTGTTGGGTTGCCTCCAGGAACTGGTTTGGGAAACACTGCTTTAAGCTATAGTAGTACCATGTAGTCCAGGGGTTCTAAATCTTGGTCCTGGAACTACGGTGTCCTGCAGATTTTAGCTTCAACCCCAATCAGACACCTGGGCTTTTACTAGGCTTTTTAAAAACATCCTTGCAGGTGAGTTGAGGCTAGTAGGAGCTGAAATCTGCAGGACACCGGACCTCCAGGACCGAGTTTAAAAACCCCTGGTGTAGTCTATATTAGGGGTGTCATGATTTCGATTTTTAAATGAAATCGATTGAAATTTATGCTCAATTTCGATTATCGAGTCAAAAAATAGAATCGTCGATGCTGCCACGCCCCCATGTCCGCTTGGCTTGCCAAGCGGGAAAAAACAGGCTTGTTGAAGTGCTTGTTAAACTGCAGAAGCAGGAGACCCGTCGAGAGAACTTAAACCCTCTCCTCTTTCAATGAAGTCGCCGGTGTGTAAACATTTTGGATTTCCAGTGAGTTATGTTGACAACGTTCGTGTTGTCGACAAAAAAAACACAGTTTTGCAAGCTCTGCTATGTACGTATTACGTACGGTTCGTCCGATAGACAACACCGGTATCGCGATCCTCCGCCCGCCCCCGTTGCAAATCTGCTCGCAAAAAGTACACACTCAGGCCCTGTTTACACTGTCTTTGTTTTTAAATGGCATTTTAGAACGACAACGATTTGACATCCACAGTGGCGTGTAGCATTTCTGAGCAGCCCTCCTTCCTCTCTACCTCTGAAAATGCACATCACGTGACCACACAGACACAGACGCACATACAGCCTTGCGCTCGAGACAGCAGGTCCAGGCAGTCAGAGGACTGCTTCAATCTTTCACTCACTTGTACTTAGTCATTTTATCGAACACCTCAGATACTGTTGGCTGGTTCCTGTTGGTTGTGCGTCTTTTTTACCGACGCCATTTTAACGACACAGATCACTGCCTATTCACGAGTCCCGCAGAAAAAGTGATTGACAGGTGGTAATTATGTGTGTATCTTGCCTTTATTCATTTACTGTATGATTTGTTTATGGGTAAAACAAAGACCATGCAGGTCAGGTAGTTTAAACGGTAGGCTACAAATAATTAATTGGTCATTAATTAATTAATTATTCATTATCGAAAATCGAATCGAATCGTGCCTTTAGAATCGAAAATGTAATCGAATCGAGGATTTGGAGGATCGTGACACCCTTAGTCTATATGTATTTGAAATTCTTAAATGTTATAGTATGATTGTTTTTTATTCACTATATACCTTTTTGTAATATGTTATATTTTATGCCCTCTCTATTCTTTATTGCTAACTCTGTACCTTTCCTTATATGAATACTTATTCATGGTTTACTATTTATAACTCTTATATATGAGTTATAACTTATATCTTTTAACTTTATCTCTATAGAAATGTTGTTTTTTGTAATTCAGTTTTTATTAAAAAAAATTTAAAATATACAATTTTTACAATCAGATAAAAAATACTTTCCATCCCCCATCCCCCCACCTTGTCATATGCACATTAGAAAAAAACAGAATAACTTTAGTTTAGATGTATTAGATGAATTACATAAAGTTTGACTTTCGTAGTATCAGATGTGGGTTAAGTGTCTAAGATTTCTTTGGTGAAGCCTATATAGATTTTCCACACCATCAGAATGTACAGTTTAGCATGGTTGATCTGTGCTGATGACAGTTCCAGATACAGTATTTCCAATAATATGTATGGACCTTTGCATTTAAGGGAAATTGAGAGTTATCGTTCAATAAAAACAATACAGGATCTTTGGGAAAACTAATTTTTGTAACTTTAAACAAAATGTCCAGCACAGAATCCAGAAGTTTTTGCACCTCTGAACATTCCCACATCATATGTAAAAAGGTATCTGGATGCTGTGGTTCACAGAACTTACAATAAGAATGTGGAGATAAACCTATGATATGTCGTAAACGTGTAGTTAAATATGCCCTGTGAATAGTTTTTAAGTGAAACATGTATATATATATATATATAATTGTTTGAAAGAACTCTGACCTTTCAATTAGCCTATATAATAAAATCATATCTTTAATATTAACATTTTCCTCAAGTTTTCTACAGAATTGGGGCTGTAAACATGGTAGCGATTAATTTGCAGAAACTGTGACTTAAAACAAATTAGTTTTGTGATTATATTATGTTTTGTCAGTTTGATTAATGTTGTGTTTCCCAGAGATGGGTTGCAGCTGGAAGGGCATCCTCTGCGTAAAAATGTGCTGGATGAGCTGGCGGTTCATTCCGCTGTGGCGACTAATAATAAAATTAATAAAGGGACTGAGCCGACAAGAAAATGAATGAATGATTAGTTTTGTGATTGTGCATGTTTTTTTTATGTATTTTGTATGCATTATAATTATTATCATGCATACAGTATGTCATTCATTCATTCATTCATTTTTTCATATTCATTTCATATTCATTTTTTTTTCGGCTTAGTCCCTTTGCATACAGTATGTTAGCATTTTAATTCAAAGTTTACCCAAAAATAAGAATCACATCATCATTTACTTCCCCTTATGTGGTTTTAAAGATTTATGAGTTTCTTGCTTTAATTAAACACTGAAGATGTTTGTGGTTTAATAATAAGGAATATAAATACCACAGAAGTTGTTGAGTGCCAGCTACCAGCATTCTTCAAAATATCTTCTTTTGTGTTTGGCAGAAAAAATAAACTCAAATAGGTTTTGAACAAGTGAAGGGCTAGTAAACAATAATTGCATTTTTATTTTTTGGCCTAACAATCCTTTTAAGTTTTAATATTATTAATAAAATATAAATGCTATGAGACTAATTTGAATGCAACCAGGAAAATGGTCCTCGGAGAAAATGTACTTTTTGAAGATCTATGCTGGTGTCTAGTTAATATATCTGAGTACCATTACTGTAATCCATTAATAACTCATAACCTCGCTCTTTCCTTATATAACATGTTCCGTACCTCTATGCAATAACAATTACATAATTCATAATTCTCTCAGAATACTCTCTTAATAATTACTCCATATTGCGCTCCCTCTCTTACGCCCTCGATAATCCCCTGATACTGTTTCTCTAACAACAAGGTATGAGAAGATTCTGTCTTGCTTTATCTTGTCCTTACCATCTTCTTATGCTTTTTTGTCTGTCCTTACAGCATCTCTGCGAGGAATGCAAGAAGAGTATCAGAAAAAAGCTCTGAGCGCTTTCCAGAGGTGATTTTCAGATTGTCCTAAATTCTTCTCTTTCTCTTGTTCTCTCACGCTGATGAAAATCTCTCTTTGTTTCTGTGTCTTTCTATGTCTCAGGGCACAGAGTCTTTCCCCCACTGATCATCTGGCTGTTTTCTACCTGGCGCTGCAGCTGGCAATATCCCGACAGGTAGGAGAAGCAACATCTGCTCCTTACACACAGGTAGTGAGAAACAAAATGTCTTGACACACAGATGGATGAACTGTTGTCAGGCTGGTAGCTTTTCTCTAGATTACTCGTATACATTATACATCTATACATTTTCAAATGGCTAACACGTCTAGGGCTGGCATTATGGCCCCAAAAATCACAAAAAAATTTTCCATGTCAATTCTTACATTCTGTTAATGACATTGGGTATATTTAGCTCAAAAATTTAACCCCTGTTGTTATTTACTCGCCCTTAAATTGTTCCAAACTTTTATGAGCTATAACGGCTGAAGCAATATTTCAATTTCAAAACATCTCTTTTTGTTTCTTCCACATTAGGGTGCATGGGTATGAATTAAAACTTTGGTGAAAATATGTATTTGTTCTAAAATCTGAAAGAAAAAACAAAATTCAAATAGTAAGACTGCAAAAAGATTACAATAAAACTCTGCTAACTGGTTAACAGAAGTAGTAGAGCATAAGTTCTGGCAGCCACAACTGCCATTTTTTATTATAAATTCCACAGATATTTTACAGTGTGTTTTTAAATGATTATTATTATTATTAATAATAATCATGTGTCATCATGGTGGCGCAGTAGACAGCATGAGCTCTGGCTCAGTCAGTTGGCATTTCTGTGTGGAGCTAGCATGTTTTCCCCATGTTCGCGTGGGTTTCCCCCACATGTTCTGGTTTCCCCCACAGTCCAAAGAAATGCGCTATAGGTGTATTGAGTAAGCTAAATAGGCTGTAGTGAATGTGTGTGAATGCAAGAGTTTATGGGTGTTTTCCAGTGATAGGTTGCGGCTGGAAGGGTATCCGCTGCGTGAAACATATGCTGGATAAGTTGGCAGTTCATTCTGCTGTAGTGACCCCTAATTAATAAAGGGACTAAGCCAAAAAACGAAAAGGAATGAAAGAAAGAATGATAGTCTTTGTAATGTGTATTAATATAATAAGCCTAATTGTCTTGTTGTAGGCTAAATCCTCCAAAAGTTTCATATAATTATAGAAATAAAACCTAGTATTGGAAGAGCTATTTTTGGTGTCTATCATTGACAAACAAGGTAAAAAATGTTATCGCCTTCGCTACTTTATTAGCAAGGAGAAGAATAATACTTGAGTGGAGATCAGCAGTCCCACCTAAAGCTTCATTGAGGATGTGTGACCTGGTTTTATGTTTGAAGTAAGAGAAAATTAAATAGTTAATGACCGGATCTATCCAAACAATTTATGAGACATGGCAATCTATGATCACAATATTTGAAAAAAATAAAGACTCTCCCTTTTTAACTGATTTATATAAAGAAATCTGTACAAAAAGGTTTAAATGCGATCACCAATAATGTTTGGTTTCATATTTATGTAGTTGACCTCTATAAATATGTCAGATTATTGATTTTTATTATTGTTTATTTGTTTATTTATTTATTTATTTGAATTATTTTTACAATTGATATTGTCTTATTGTAAATGTATACAATTTGAATACAAAACAATCTAAATGAATAAAATACAAAAAAGTTTTTTTTTTACTTAATAATAAATATATTTATCTATTTCTGTTGCAATTTTATTTTATTTTATTTGCTTTTTAATTTATTTCAGTGGTAAGGGTCACTAAAGCGAAAAATTACAACTTTGATTATATAAAATATTTTGTTAAAGCTTGGAAAAAATCCCAAATATAAATATCTTTTAAAAAGTTTCATATAACAGGTTGTTTTCAAGCACGGGGTTCTGGTGACGCACAAAATTCAGATGGCAGACAGGAAGTAAAAAAAATAGGAGAGACAGAGGACAGTCCATATTTTTGCGATTCATACCATATTTCAAAGGAAATATCAATATAAAAAAAACACATATGTCGGGCATGATCCTTATATCATGTAGAGGGCAGAGATTTCTACTGAAGTAAAAGGAATTTGCCTGCAATCGATGCGGTACATACTGTATAATTACGTTACGTTACGTTACGTGTCATAGTAATTATATTGTTGTTCTAGTAATAGTTTATTTAATAGGCTTCAGTTTTCTTTGCTATAATCACAATGCACCACAGTTTACAGTAACGTTACAGTGTTTATTACAGTTTATTAGTTTACTAGGCTACAGTATTCTTTAGCATTCATTAACAAAGAGTTGTGCACATTATACACTTTACTATGTGGTTCAAAAACATGTTTATTATAAATTAATATAATTTTTCCCCATGTGGATATCTTTAAGACATCACAAAATAACGGATGAAAGCATACAAAAGTGTGGAGGCATAGTCTACATTATTATCGATTTATTTTTGTAAGGGGGAAAAGTGCTTCACAATAATAATCATCTAGTTTTGTCGCAAGGGTGCATTTCTTTTTTGTTCTGTTGATGAACTTACCATCAACAAACATTCACCGCTGTTGCGTATTTCGATGTTCACGTTACGGTTGTTTATTCTGTCGAAACGCCAGTAAAGACTTGGGTAAGTGATGATTAGTGATTACTTGGATATCTGATTGTTTTTAAAACACATTAACATATAATACACATAGCTAGGCCTGTATATAATATTTATTAGTGCTGTCAAAATGAATTATCACATTCCAAAAAGTTAGTACACATGGATGTATTGAAATTTTTTTATTATTACTTGCCGCATTTTATTCCGTCTTTCAGCAAGTTTCTTGAACTTTCCCCCGATTGTGAGCAAAAACGTTCAGAAGTCTATAAAAGCTGTTCAGTAGGGATGTAACAATATTGTAAATACATACCGCAATAGTAATTTGTTTCAATATTACCGTAGGCGCATGACTCAATAAAACTATGTTTCTGTGAAAAGTTTGCTTAGGCAAATGAAGCGAACGGAAGGTAGCGGGAACTACAATTCCCATAAGCCTAGGTGTGGCCATCATCCTTTACGGTCTGTTGTCACTACAGATCCAGTAATGCGGAAATGGAGGGTGCTGCTAGTAGCGGGGAAGAAAAAGAGCTGGAAATGATCAAACCTAAAGCGTGTTTTAAATCGGATGTGTGGAAGCATTTCGGTTTCTTTCTAAAAAGTTACGAAAAAGGAGAAAAGGTGAGAGACAAAGAAAAAAACAGTATGCAGGCACTGCCAGACTGTGGTGAAATATAAGTCTGGGAATACGACTAAAAACAGTCATGGGGACTGCAGAACACAGCACACTTGTTAGATTGATGCAGACATTGACTTGTACTGCAAAGAGACCTCTATCTCACTCATGGCTTGTCCTCTCAAGTGGTGGAAAGACAATGCACAATGTTACCCACTGCTGTCAACCTTGGCTAAATCATACCTCTCTGTCCCAGAAACCTCAGGTCCAAATGAGAGGGTTTATTTTTCTGTTGCAGGGGACATGCCCAGAGATCCCAGCTTTTACCAGATTATAGTCATATGATAATTTTCCTTAAAAAACCCATCTCTATCTAAGTGTGTGAGTGATTAAATGTTGAATGTGAGGAGTTTTCAACAATACTAAATTGAAACTTTATTATTTTTTTTACATGGTTTAATAGTTTTTTGTTATTAAAATAGAAAAATTGAAGTTCCTGTTTCGAAACGTACAGATAGATGGCTAATTTGTATGTCATTGATATGTTCAGTGCTAAGGTAAATAAACACTTTTGGCACTTTTTTCAAGTCTTATCATCAGTTTTGTTTTCCTGTAAATTATTCAATAAATACCGTACGGTGCCATTCATACCGAGGTATTATCGTACCGTGAAATTATGATACCGTTACATCCCTACTGTTCAGCGTTTCTCATTTTGGCCGATTTAAACAATTATAAACAACATAATCAGAAATATTTTGATGTTCTAATCACTTCTCCATCTAAATTCCGCGCATCATCAATGACGTACGTGTGAAAACAACCTATCATAGTTGATGCCTTGTTTTGTATAATAATTATCTTTACTTATGCTTCACCCAATTCTAGCCACATCTGACTCTGCTCACTAAAGGAACTTAGTTCTGTCCTTATTTTCTTTCTAGCCTGTCTCTCCCACCAAATGACAGTCTGTTATTTTTTCTCCTCATTTTTCTCTTGTCTTATTTAAACAGTCGTCTAATAAAAGCATCTCTTGTGTATGTGTGTGTGTGTGTCAGATTCCAGAAGCGCTCGGTTATGTACGACAGGCGTTACAGCTGCAGGGTGATGATGTTCACTCGCTGCACCTGCTGGCCTTGCTGCTGTCAGCTCAGAAACACTACCACGATGCTCTCAACATCATCGAGATGGCCCTCAGCGAATACCCAGAGAACTTCATGTGAGTCCAACAAAACCACTGTCACACTAAATCTAACCTATCGAGCCTTACTCTAAAGTAGCCTTGTTGTTTGAAACGGATGTCACCAGCTAATCAGAGAAAAGGAAAACACCTTTTCTTGGCTCAGAGAACCAATTAGATGATTCCGTGTTCCTCTGCACAGCATTTATAAAGCTACAAACACACACACACACACACACACACACACAGCAGTAGGCAGTGTTTAGACAGTTAGAGGCATGCCACAGTGCCCACTTTAATGAGAATGTTTGTGTTTGCTGTCGCAGCTGGGATAGATGGGTACATATCTGCTTCTGGCATCATCAATTAGACAACTTAGAAGTGTGTGAGTGTGTGTGTTGGATGTTTTGAGCACTGGCCAGTCCCCACGCAAATTCCCTTCTCATTGGATTTGATCAGAGTCGCCTCCATCTGTGTGTGTGTGTGTGTGTGTGTGTGTTGTCGCCCTTCCGGCTGTGTGCTTCAGCCACTTACATAATAGAAAAAATACAACAGCTTTCTTTTTCCTCCAATCCTATAGCTCCCCTTTTCACCCTGTTTTTCCCTGAAGGGTTTTGGTTGTGCATGTGTGTGTGTTTCCATGCATTTGCTTCACTGCCTTGAAAGGAAATGCACCAGAACATCCAGCCCTCTTTATTATACACACACACACACACACACACACACACACACACACACACACACACACACACACACACACACAGAGACACACACAGGATTAATTCAGCAGTTGTGTGGGCGTCCTAGCTATGTAGCGTGCAAACACAAGAGAGATGAAAGAACGGCTGATGAGAATGCGCCTTCAGAATTAGCTGAACTCAGATCAGCGCAGCTTTTAGACGCTGCTCAGAATGATCTGGGTTCAGACGAGCGGCTGCAGCAGCAGAGAGCTGCTGAAGAGCATCCTCTATATATGGACACACACTCACACACACCAGCTGCGTCTTCTCACAAGCTGCCATATCTGATTATTGAAAAATGCCCATCTGCACTCTCCATGGTGCGCGCAGATCTGCTGTCTGCAAAAAAAATGTGTGGAAAATCCAGGAGTTAGCAGGGGGATTCTTTATGCACTCATTAGCAGACAAGAGCCAATATACCTGAAAACCTTCAGTGTTACAAAATCACTCAATATAACACTCATCTAAATTAGGCCTACACGATAATGGAAATATCGGACATATTTTGTTCTCCTGCTAAATAAATTGCAATATGAATATAATTTCACTAGAAGAATTGAATAGCTCTATTTGGATAGAATTAGTTCACTTACTGTAGATAGTTTGGGATGATCAAGATTTTTTATGCAGTGCATTTGCATAAATTATAATACATTACAGGCATTACAAATATAATATTGTATAAACAATTAAAAACAGAATAATGTTTAATAAAATCTTTGTTTTAATCTTTAGTAAATAATCTAATCCTCCGATGTGACTATTGTGGATACATTGCGATATCGATGCTCAAGCTATATATTGTGCAGCCCTATTCTGATTATTGAATTATAATTGTGCATTTTTATATTTCGTTTGTCTTTGCTGCCAATTTATACCTGAACTTTCCAATCTTAAAATTATTTTATTACAATGTTAAATATAATATTCTCATCATAAAATAAAATGAATATCCAGGTTTTTGTACACTATAGGAAAAAGTATTTTTTAAAGTATTTTTTAAAATAATATATGTACAGTTGAGGCCCTGTTGTTTATTTTTCCCCAATTTCTGTTTGACGGAGAGAAGATTGTTTCAACATTTCTAAACATAACAGTTTTAATAACTCATCTCTAATAACGGATTTATTTTATCTTTGCCATGATGACAGTAAATAATATTTGACTAGATATTTTTCAAGACACTTCTATACAGCTTAAAGTGACATTTAAAACCTTAACTAAGTTAATTGTGTTAATTATGCAGGTTAGGGTAATTAGGCAAGTTATTGTATAATGATGGTTTGTTCTGTAGAATATCGAAAAATATATAGCTTAAAGGGGCTAAAAGCTTTGACCTTAAAATGGTTTTTAAAAAATTAAAAAAAACTGCTTTTATTGTAGCCAAAATAAAACAAATAATACTTTCTCCAGAAGAAAAAATATTAACAGACATACTGTGAAAATGTTCTTGCTCTGTTAAACATCATTTGGGAAATATTAAAAAAAAACAAAAAAAATCAAAAGGGGGCTAATAATTCTGTCTTCAACTGTATATATTTCAAAATGCTCACCAAAGCTGCTTTTGTTTTGATCAAAAACAAAACATTAATATTGTGAAGTATTATTACAATTTAAAATTTATGGCTTATTATATATTTTTTATTATATTAAACTCTGAAAACTGAACTGACACCGTTTCAATTTACTATAATCTTCTATGTGATGCTACTTTGACTCAATCCACATTGTAAAAGCACTATAGAAATAAAGGTGAATTGAATTGAATTGAATATTTTAAGTGTTTCTTTAGCTGTCTCATTTCAGTGGCTGCATCCACCGAAGGATGCAGACTTCAAAGGTGAGTCCTTCGTAGTCCGCACAGGAACCAGACCGAGCGTTTTGAAATGAGACGATCTAGCTTAGAGAGAAAAGATCTTGTCACTCACCAGGCAACTGTAACAGCTCACGTTAATATGTAGTAAAAAAAATTGTAGTGACTTTTTTTCAAAGTGATTTTAAAACCTATTTTGATGAAAACGAGCCCACCGGCTCGACTTCAGGGGGAGAAATGCAAGTTTGTGTGGAATATAAATTGATAGCTTACTCAAAAAGCACTGTCGTGCAAGGTGGTGTTTAATTACAGTCCCAAAAAGTCCATCCACAGTGAAGATATATACAAGTGTAAAACTAAGAAAAAGCCAAGAAGTACCAAAGAAACAACAAATAGGAAAACAAATCAGCAAAAATATATACGCTAGATATATCTACAAAAATAATTCCAACAGGTATCCACAATATACTAGCTTGCTTGAGGCAGTGCAGTAGCACTCTTGCATCGACTTAGTAATCGATTTTAAGCGATCTGAAGGCAAAACAAGGTTTACAGAAGCTGGAAATTCCTCAGATTCATACATGTACACATAAAAATGTAAACTGTCTATAAAATCACTCTTTACTAAGACATGTCATGTTCTTTTTTTTTTAGCATGTGTTTAGATCTCCAAGTAAAATAATCCTAATTTATACATTTAATCCAGAGTTTTTTTTTTAAAAGCGTCCTGCTGTTATATCCCAATTACCTGGGAAATGAAGGACACATTTTGAGGCTGCATTTGAAGGAGCCTTCTAATTTTTTTAAAATGAGACAGCCCTTCGGAGGACGCAGTTTCTGAAATGAGACACCGCTTTTGATAATAGCTAAGATTTCAGCATTTTTAGTTCAGTCTTTAATGTCACATGGTCATTTCATGTTTGTGAAGGGGTTCTCAGTTTAATGAAAAAAGTGCTAGGTCGGTGAAGAGAGTACCTTCTTTTCTCTAATTTCCTAAAACAAAGAACATTTCTTATCCAACAAGTGTGAGAAGGAGGGTAAGTGCTCTTCAAGTTCAGATGACTTAACCACCTAGCCAGAAGGATTAAGAAGGCTACAAAGTCTACAAAACGTGTGGCTGTGTGGGATAACACCAAATAAACCAATAATTGGACAAGGTGGAATATCCACAGTGGTAATAGCAGACAACAAGAAGAAAATTTGCCTCCAAAAAGAGAGCAGGGAAGGACAGGACCAGACATATGAATTAGATTAACTTAACCAGAATGACACCTGTCACACTCGGGGTCAATGACCTTTTCAATGTGGTCATGTCATTGGTCCATGAACGTTTCCTGCTTGTTGTCAAACTATTTCATAACTGTAACAAATGACGATTCAATCATAACTTGATGTTATAACAGCTATCGTAACATTATTTATCAATATGTGGAAGATGCTGTGGAAATTTAAAATGTAAAACAGGAAATACGTCAGGACCATTGTTTTTGTTAATATCTTTCAAAATGGTCTTATACAGTACAGTTGAACATCGTCTTCATGGACTTTTTCTCCAGTTTGTTTTATCACAGAGATGAATCTACCAATTTGTTCTGTTGATGCTTGTGTTAGCTCAGCAGAATGAGACCAAACATCTTGACCCTAGTTAAAGTTTTGCATGTAAACGCCTTTCAGGAAGATTTACACTGATTCATCTTAAACAGTTTTTAATAAACCTTTCTGTGCTCTCTTGTTTAATAAACACTGCATTAGACATTCAGATGGAAGGAGAGTAACTTTTTTATAATTGTTTTTACAGCCTTTTATTCACAAAGGTGAAATTGGAGACGTTGTGTCGAGGCCCAGAAGAGGCGTTACTCTCCTGCAAACGCATGCTGCAGATCTGGAAATCCTGTTACAACCTCACCAACCCCAGGTATATACACACACACACACACACACACACACACACACACACTCCAGCTGTTGACACATGAATGTTAGAAGCTCAAATTTCGGCACTCGCCATCACACATCGGACAGCACAGCATGTCTCTCTGACTGTGAGGAGCTCACCACACCTTCATTAAAAATAAATAAAAGCACAGCTCGTACCATTGCTGCATACTATGATTCAGTCCTGCTTTCTTTCTTTCGCTCACTCTCTCGTTCTAATGGCTGAAATTCCAGCCCCTCACTGTCAGAACACACCAGCTATTCCTGTCAAACTGTCTTGAACTCAGTACCTGGTGACAATGCACCAGAGACCAATTAGTGGGCAGACACGCTTACCAAACTCTGCCATATATTCAGAGTCTCTTCTGCCAAATGCTGAGCTCATTCTCCTTAAACCACAATGCTAATAAGACTCCAACCTACAACTTTTGCCACTCCCACTGGGGTTAGTGGCCGTCTTCCATTGACACTAGAAAGAAGTGGAAATTAACCACATCCGTAAGCATCAATGGGTGAAATCATAAAGGCGCAATCACTTTAGTAAAATTTCATTAGCATAATACGTTCTGTTGCTACTTGTGTTGCTTGCACCACTCAAAAATTCTAAACCACATTTGAAATTCCACATTGCTTGGATTTCTAGTGAAATTACTGGATTTTGACCCAGCAAGAGTAAATGTAAAACACAACTTTAACATAACCCTTTTAGGATTTGAGTTTAATCTGAATTCATTCACTTGTTTTCCTTCGGTAGCCCCAAAATGTTGTATTAAATCTAAAAAAAAAAACATTAAAATAATTAATTACTTTTTTGTATCAACCAGAAATGTAATTTCTAGCTGTTTTCCTAAAGTTAAAGCAAATGCAGGAGAAGTTAATAAGGTCAGGACTGGAATGTTACATCACAAGCAACATATGCTAACATTTCAGCACTTGCAAATGGACAGCGACTCTTATGAATCACTTAAAGCGCACCATAGTGCAATCATGTTAAAAGCATTTTTAGGAAATGCATATAAAGGGGTACAAATGGCTTTTCCCTGAAATGTAAGAACACTTGGAAGAGCTATGATTTGTCAATATGGGTAAATGTTGGGAAGATGGCCACTTAAAGGGCACCTATGATGAAAACATATGTTTGGACAGAACTGTGTGTAAATATAGTGTGTCCAAAGTCATATTGGGTTGATATAAAGACATTAAGTCTCTTTTTTTTAATTTCCTGATGTTAAAATAGGATCCAAATCCCTGCCATTTTGAGGCCGACCACAACTTGACATAGGAGTGCGATTTCCCCACCCACCGAATTGATTGACAGCCGCGTATTAACATCTCTCCGTAGTAACAAGCATAATCATATCAACAAGACAGGACGTGCGCAAAGCAACCGGGATTAAAAGATTTGTTGAGCTCGCTGCTTTCATCAATCATCATCAAATGTGATCAAGAATCAGTTTTACAAGTTGAAAATATTTTAAAGCAGTGCATGTTTGTAATGAATCTTAGCAATTTTACCGTCTTTTATCACCACAGCCACATAATTATAAAAGCAGACACTTCAATCCCGATTTGTAGACTTTGAATCAGGTTTGTTTTGTACATTAACATAACAGATATCCATACAGCAGTGGATATTAATGTGTATCCTGTCACATTTGCATGCAAAAACAGTGCAAAGTTAAACGTGTGCGTGCGTGTGTGAACTTTGTAACAACATTGTGTGATTTATCGTTCTCGTCAGCTAATTAACTCCACAACAAATACATCAAATAATCATTGGGAAAGTTCTTACTGTAGTATTTCTCACAAACAATATGTGAGATGTGCTTCCTTCATGTCTGCCACTGTGCTGTTTATCTGACGCAGCAGGAGATTGAGGCACACTCTGACAGGCATGTGGGAACGGTGGGCGGGGAGAACTAGCATGGCACGGGCCACAAAAACAGCTACATTGTGTTCAGAGCAGAAAAATCCAGCATTCTGAAAGGTCTAATAAATAATCTGATGGGCGTTTTGAGATGAAACTTTACAGACACATTTTGGAGACACAAAAGACTTATCTTAAATCTTGAAAAAGGGGTAAAATAGGTGCCCTTTAATGAAGGCCGCAGATGTCATTTTTTGGGGAGTTTGGACTGGTTACAAAATGTAATTTTGGATTATTATTATTACAAACAGGGCCATTTCTAGAAAGCAAATCATCATCATCAAGGTTTTGGGCTCTTTTTTATAAGGGATAGTTGCCCCTCATGTGGCTTTAAACCTTTGTGAGTTTCTTTCTTCTGTTGAACACAAAAGAAGATATTTTGAAAAATGCTGGACCCATAGATCTCCATATTGAGAAAAAAATTACTATGAAATTCAATGGGTGCTAGCTGCCACCATTTTTCAAAATATCTTCTTTTGTGTTCAACAGAAGAAACTCAAATAGGCAGTGCTTAATTTGTGAATTGCGAGGTCCCGGAACAGATAGGGGTAATGGATCTGGCAAGTTACCCGAGGATGGAGAGGTGGATGGCGGAGGGGTGAAATAGACAATAGTGAAGAGGGTTGGAGAGTCGCTGAAGAAAGTGAACAGCGGACGGGCAGGAGGGAGGTTGAGGAGGGAAATCAGTCAAATTTGGTGCCGGACCAGATTTCAAAGGTTCCGGATCCGACATGTTCCGGCAAAAATTAAGCCCTGCAAATAGGTTTTAAACAAGCGAAGGGTGTCTAGATCATGGCAGAATTTAAATTTTTGCATGATCTATATAATTTGGGCCAGTAACCAACCACTAATCAATATGCTGACAGCCATTCAGGACACACAAGCAACCACATAGCATCATCCATTTAACCACATATAAAACCCGGACTGTCTGGCAACATCTCTCATTGTCCTCTAATTTTCAGTTATTACAGTACTTCTTTTTCCATATGAACAGTGTTGCAGAGGCGTTGTGGTTGTGTGTGCTATAGCAGTGTGCCATGAGATGCTGAGTGAAATTTCTGAGGGTTTCATCATTCCGTGTGTATTGATGTGCAAGTATCACATCGCCTGCCTGAGTGCTTGACTCACTCTCTAATTTTAATGTCTTAATTGCTTTTTCTCGTCTGTGTGTGTGTGTGTGTGTGTGTGTAGTGATTCTGGAAGAGGGAGCAGTCTGTTAGACAGAGCTGTTGCTGACCGTCGCCAGCTGAACGCCATGACACTACCTGACTTCAGTGATCCAGAGACAGGTGAACACAAACACAAAACACACACAGAATCTAATATCTGTATCTCCATAGCTATTGTGGTAATGTTTTTTTTTCACCCACTCACTTTAGAGGGTTTGTACAAACATGGCAACGGACATCAGCTTTTTGTCTCTTTATCTGCATTTCCTGCATGTCTCTCTCTCTCTCTCTCTCTCTCTCAAACACACATATTTACATATATGATAAGCTTACACGACCATTATATAATTTGAATTGGAAAGGTTTTGATCCACATTGACACTGATCTGACAAAAAAATATACTAAAAATGCTATTATTACATATTATTAAATATATACACTACCGGTCAAAAGTTTGGGGTCAGTAGGATTTTTTAATGTTTTAAAATGAGCTTCTCCTGCTCACCAAGGCTGCATTTATTTCACCAAAAATACAGTACAAATTGTAAAAGTGTGAAATGTAATTGCACTATAAAATATCTTTTAATTTAATAATTTATTCCAGTAATTTTAAAGATAAATTTTCAGCTTCATTACCCCAGTCTTCAGAGTTATGGAGTTAGTTTTGTTTCTGTATTATTCAATCAAAAATATTTAGTTTTAAAGAAAAATTAAGTTTGTAGTAATTAAAAAAAAAAAAAAGATTTCAAAAAAAAAAAAAACACAATTAATTAAAAAAACGTATGTCAATGATAATAAAATATTTTGGATTGCAAAAAATAAACATAATTTAATGAAATAATAATACAATTGTCCTATTATGCAGTTACCAAAATTTTCATTGCGCACACATTAATTTTGCTGATTCTACTGTAATTTATTGCACATCTAAAATCTTTGCTTGCGGGTTGAAATGTTTTGCTTATGAGTTGAAAAGTTTTGAACCCATGAATGCCGGGGTTCATTTTGTGTCTTTATTATTCAAACAAACATATAAAGTTTTTGACCAAAATTAGTTACACAGCAATTAAAAAATTAAAGAAATTAAATTATAAAAGTACATTTATTAAAAAAAATCAAATAGTTAACTATTGCCATTTTATGCAGTTACCACCAGATTAATTCATTGTGTGCTCATTTATTTTGCTTTCGGTTTTGTTTCGTTTTTGCGGTTCTAAAATCTTTGCTTTTGAGTTGAAAAGTTTTGCGAGTTGAAAACTGCAGCTCGGTGGGCGGGAAACACCTTATTCTATTGGTCAATCTTGATTGAGGTCACAGGTTGGCCACGCCCATTACATTTTTGTGCGGTTGGAATGTGTTGCCATCCATGACAGGAGCGAATTTTGTGTGTTTTTTTAATAAATGTTTTTTTTATTATTTGAAATCTTTTATTTTTTAATTGCATTGTACCTAATTTTGGTCAAAAAAATTCATATGTTTGTTTGAATAATAAAGACAAAATTAACTCCAACATTCATGGGTTCAAAACTTTTCAACTCACAAGCAAAACATTTTAAATTGCAAGCAAAGATTTTAGATGTGCAATAAATGACAGTAGAAACAGCAAAATTAATGTGTGCGCAATGAAAATTTTGGTAACTGCATAACAGGACAATTGTTTATTTTTTGCAATCAAAAATATTTTATTATCATTGACATACATTTTTATTAAACATGTTTTTTATTTGAAATCTTTTATTTTTTAATTACTAATACTTAATTTTTCTTTAAAACTAAATATTTTTGATTGAATAATAAAGAAACAAAACTAACTCCATACAGAGTCACATGATCCTTCAGAAATCACTCTAATATTAATAATTATTATTGATATTATTAATATTAATATTATTAATGGTAATAATAACAAAAGCAATAATAACCAGAGTAATAATTTAATTTGAAACTACATACAATAAGAAAGCAGTTATTTAAATTTTTAAAAAGTATTTAACAATTAAAAAAAAATTACGTTTAATAAATGCCGCCTTAATTAACAGAATTATTTTCTTTAAAAAAAACAAACAAAAAAAACATGGAAAAAAATAATAAAACAAAACTGACCCTAAACTTTTGACGGGTAGTGTATATTGTCCTTTACTTTGTAAAGTAACACTACTAGTCTGCCATTGTTGTTTTGGTTGGCAAATGGCAAATATCATGACTTTTTTTAAATGATTAGAGAATGATAACAAAATCATTTCACTATTTAAAAAAAGAAAAAAAAAATTTCGGAAAGCGAGGCAGATTCCACTGTTGTATAAAAGTACAATCATATGTCATACATATACTAAAACATTTAGCTAAAATCGTTGACTTATCAGAATTCACCGTCTATGATAGGTTATTGCACTTTGTAATGCACTTCTGTGACCCATGAAGATCATAACATGGAAAATAATTCATTTAACTCCTTTAAGCTCTAAATACTTTTTGATACAGATGCATTAATGTGCAACTGTTCATATTTACACATCAGTAGGGCCAGGCAGAATCTGCTGTCATTTTTTTTTTCATTTTGTATAAAAAATGATTATGCAGAATGATTTTTAAAAAGTATTAAACCTTATTATAAAAATAAAAATTAACTATTATTTAATGTTTATAATGCAAATCCAGATGTAGATCCACTTAATTTGTAAACAAAGCAAGTCACTTATATAATATATACTGAAAAACAGAAAATATTACTATACAAAGTTTATTGTAAAATATTATTGTTCGTAAATCACATGAACGTTTTCATAGTAGTCATACTATTACTGAAATTAATTTAAAATCTGAATAAATATAAATTTAAACAAATTTACACAAGTAAATAAATAGACATAATGATAGGGAAAAAATCTACAGAAATCTATGGATTTCTGCGCACACATATTCCGTGTGGGCCTAGATCAGTAACACCTGCTCACTGTTAAGCAAACTTGGCCTGCCCAGTTTAGAAAATATGGAAATATTATGTTTCTTCTTTCATTAACAAACCTGTAAATGATCCTATAGAACTTAAAAGAGCCTTTATTCAACCATTCATGTGTCATTTTACTGCTAAATTCACATTATTTTCCCCAGTATCTTGTGCAGCAAGTAGAGTAATTAAAAAAGAGGGCTGAAATGAGTGCAGGTGTTTATTTGCTGTGTTTGCACATCAGTAATGGTGGAGGGTTTCTGTGCTGTGTATGCAGACAGTAAACATGTCATCTTGCCTCCGTGAATCAGCAGTTACCTTCCCAATCCTGTTTTCCTGCTACAGCTTTTCTGTTCTGGTGATTTGTTTTGATCATTTTTTAGCCTTTCCATTATTTTAGGGCTTTATTGAGTTTAATTAAAATACATTTGCCAGCCACTTTATAAGGTAAATCTGTCCAAGCGCTTGTTAACGCAAATTTCTAATCAGCCTGTCACATGGCAGAAACTCAATGCATTTAGGCAAGTAGACATAGTCAAGATGATCTGCTGCAGTTTAAACCCAGCATCAGAATGGGAAAGAAAGGTGATTTAAGTGACTTTGAACGAGGCATGGATGTTGGTGCCTGATGTGCTGGTCTGAGTATTTCATAAACTGCTGATCTACTGGGATTTTCACGCACAACCATCTCTAGGGTTTACAGAGAATGATCCGGAAAAGAGAAAATATCCAGCAGTTGTGTGGGCACAACGGCCTTGTTGATGCCAAAGATCAGAGGAGAATGGCCAGACTCGCAATGACTCGCAACCGAGGTATGCAGAAGAGACTCTCTGAACGCTGAATTTTCTTGGCACAATATGGGGTCATTAATACCAGTTGAACATCATGTCAATGCCACAGCCTACATGAGTATAGTTGCTGACCGCGTTCATCCCTTGATTACCACAGTGTACCCATCTTCTGATGACTACTTCCAGCAGAATAACGCACCATGTCATAAAGCGAAAATCATTTCTAACTGGTACTTGAACATGACAATGAGTTCACTGTACTCAAATGGCCTCCACAGTCACCAGAACTCAGTCCAATAGAGCACCATTGGGATGTATTGGAACGGGGGATTCTCATCATGGATGTGCAGCCAACAAATCTGATATGCTGTGATGCTATCATGTCAATATGGACCGAAATCTCAGAGGAATATTTTAGGTACCTTGTGGAATTTATGCCACGAAGGGTTAAGACCGTTCTGAAGGTAAAAAGGGTCCTACGGTACTAGTAAGATGTACCTAATAAAGTGGCCGGTGAATGTATAATGTCAATTGCTTACAAGTCCCTAGTTGTATATTCATTAACTATATAGTTCATGTTGAATTAACACTTTTCTATCACAGCCCTAAATAGTTTACATCATTTCCTTCTGTAATCACTGGGATCATTTTTCCCTCAATATTATGTTTCCCCAATTTTTTGTTTTGTTTTTGTCATTCACATCCCCTGTTCATTTTCTCATTTTTCTTTCTAGCCTCTCATGCCTCCTCCTCTCTCTCGGGGTCAGAACCTGTATCTCCTCTTTTTCCTCTTTCATCCCTCTATTCTCCACCTCCACCCAAGGCCACAGAATCCAACCAGAGGCGCAGCAGCCATGCTTTCTGTGACCACGCCCCCCGCCGACGCTTCTCCTCCGCCAGTAATGCACCCAGTTTCTTGTGTGTGTGTGTGTTTTGCAGCCAATACCTAGCACCATTCACCTTTTGCCAACCAATCCCTGGCCACTAACCACTATGCTTTGACTGAATAACACCGCCCATAAGCCTAGATCCTTTGGGATTTGGTTAAGTGTTTGGTGACTTGTTTGCTGCTGCAGTTTGGATGTTTATTGAAACCTTATTTGGGTTTTGAAGGACTCTTTTGGAAGATTTCATTCTCTAAATATAGTCATCCATTAATGGGTTTGCATTGTTGTGAAGTTAACCGATCCAAGAAGCATATTTACCACTAATTTTCAGGCCAAATTGACAGTTTTTTTCCTTTTGAAATCTCATTACAGTTATACAGGATGAGAAAAACAAAAGCAATGATCCTTATACATTTATGTTTAGGTCTGTAGAGGAGTCAGATGTACAGTTGCAGAGTTATGGTGTGTCCAGTTATGGCTAATATTATTCATTAATTGAGTACAGGGACCGATTTAAGACTCTAAATGCCGCTGGCAGGGTGATGTGATGGTGTGGGTTCAGAGATCCAGTGGCCCGTGAGACTGACACTAAGCTCTTAATCTCCATTGAGAGGCTCCTGGGGAAACGATAGACCGAGAAGCAGTGACACTTGCTATCAGCCCGCCGTTTAAGACCCGGGATCATGTCCACTAGTAACATCAGAGAGAGAGAGAGAGAGTTCATCAAGAGATTTCCTGTGTTAACTCAAACTCGCTTATACTGCGGTTTTGTCACCTTTCTCTTCAACTACGATGTTTTCTGCTTCTTGCCCTGCTTGCAGTTTGTATAAACATCTGCTTTAGGGTTTTCCAGTGAGATGAGACCCATCACTGTTTACACCTGGTTTTTATTTACATGCATTGACTGTGACCACTTAGGGTCAAATTTTGACGGGAGAGTTTGCAAATAATATAATGTAACATTAATATAAAACACACTACTTTTAAAAATTAATTTGCTTGGCTGAAAAGTCTTATAATGGACTATTTGTAGAATTCAGAAACCCGTAAAAGCAACCCCAGTGGCTGATTAGATGAAGTACTCATGCTCATGTAACATAAGAGCCTTAAGGCTAATTTATACTTCTACGACAAGCACACGCGTAAAAACATACTGCCAGCTAACTTTTTGGAAATGTTATTGCAGAGCAACCCAAACAGCATGCAGAAGTAGAAATACATGACTACACTCAAGGCAAGCGCTTTTGGTCACGCCATTCCTCTCAATGACAATATAACCAAAACAAAAATAACAGTGGAGAGAAAACAGCAGCTAAGAAAGCATTTTATCATAGACTTATGCATGCAGGGTGTCCAGGGGTCATGGAATTATTGAAACATCATGGAATATTAAAAGGTCAACTCCAGTCATTGAAAGACAAGGAGTTTTTTTTTTTTTCTTTGGTTTGTCGCTTTAAATTTTATTTTTCATTTCATCAAAATGCATTCTTTTTTTTTTACAAATTATTCTGATGCTTATGGAACTTTATTAATCGTTTTGCCTATTATTGTATATAGGCTGTTTATTTACTTATTTTTCTGGAAGCCACTTAAGTAAAAGTCAGTCACCCAGCTATACCTGTTAATCTGCGAAAACATGCCAGCAAATTTCAAGAGCTTAGGCTACAAAATGACCACTTGATACGATTACATTTATGTAAAATTATATTCTGGCCCAAACTATTTAAAAAATATGCAAAGCACAGCAATGCCCTTTTTTCTGTTATAGGCCATGGTAATTAAGTGTTTAGTCAGTGAAAGTCAGTGAAAATGCAGGAAATTTGACATTTGGATAAGAGTAGAAACACTGTGGATGTGCTTGTACAAGCAGCGGCGCTGGCACAATGTTAAAAGGCTAGTTATCTCAAATTACTTCATGATGGTTTAACTATAAAATAGACTTACTTTATTTAAGCGTTAGCTAAGTCTAAACTCTTAAAAAGTGCATTATCACTAAGAAAAATGATTGATTCATATAGCAGCAACATTTCAACCATGTTAATGGTAACCATTAATTCACAATTTTTTATGCTTGCTAGATTGTTCCTTAACCTGTCTAGCTAGGTTTATTCATGTAAATTATAAATAAATATACGTTTATTTTTCAGAAAAAACATTTCTAATGTATCGTTACATTTGATGTATTGGTTAACATGGTTTGTGTTTTCCGTTAAGGGCGCATAATGAGCTCTATGGCACCCAGATTTATTTATTTTTTTACAGTTCAACGCTTCAGGTACACTGTACGAATTTTGTAAGACTGCACTTAAAATGGCTCCCTAATTTGTTTCCTGACTACTGAACATGGGAGCTGATTGAGACGCACATTTAGATTTGCTGATGTCTACATGTAATCAAAGATTTTCTTACTATAGGGGAGATGAAAATGTCTGTATTACTACCATTGGAAAACTTGTAACGCTAACTTAGTCATGTGAAGCACATCTTAGACTTAGCCAATCATACAGAGGCATTTGTTTCTCAATGCCAACATGCTAACGTAGAGGCAGTGTTAGCCTTATGCATTTTAGGCTAATGATTTCAGGCTTGCCTTCAGTAGGCTTTGATAAAATCACATCATTCAAAACTGCCATTCAAAACACCAGGTGTAAACAGGGTCTTAATAATACTGTCCGTCTGCCTTTTGTAATACTGTGCATGTGAGTCAGGCTCTCTGCTGTGACTTTTTCCATGTTTGTGCACCCAAACCATTGAATTTACAGTAATGAAACGCGTGCACCTGCCTGTCTGTTTGTGGAGAGCTTACCAATTACAAATGCAGGTTACCTGTCCATAACCTACACTATATTCAGAACTCATGACACTGGTGTGTGGTATAAGAAGAAGACAAGATCTTGTCTATTATTCTTTTCATTTTTGTTTCTCTGTGAACTTTCTGTTGATTGATGTTGTTGTTGTTTTTTATTTGAATTTTTTATGAGTAATTGCCCCCTTTTTGTTGTTCTTTTTGGTTTTCAAGGCAACCTTCCAGATGCTTTCTTTCATGGTTTTGACTCCTTTATTGGGGTTTGTAAGTAACTCTTGCTGTTACTGCTCTGTTACACACACACACACACACCTGCTTCATTGCCTCACTGGCCTTCTCCCCTTTGGCCGAGTGCACCCTCCACCTGTCTGTGAAGACACTCCAACACACTCAGCCATAATGTGTTCTATGGACGCGTTGCCTCTTACCTTTTGTTTTGCCCTCTTGTTGTGTGTCCTCTCCTGGCGTTTTGTGTCTCAGGCCTCTTTGTGCTGGAGAGAGACATAAATGCACTCGTTTGGCCTCAGTTCTTAATAATTAAAGAGACAGTATTGTTCCTCCAGGCCTTTCAAGCGAGGTTTGACACATACGGCTGCTTCAGCCAAATGGGTACACAAGCAAGATTCTGGCTCATTAGTTGTAATGCTATAATTGGTTATAATTACAACACTTGATATTATTGTTAACAGTATGGCAAGGATCACCATTACTGTTGTTCATAAATGGAGTTAGTAAATAAAATAGTGCTAAAATATATGTGTTTAGCTTAAGAAAAAAAGGCTTGACAATGTTTTTAAAATAAATATCTTATGCTCACCAAGACTGAATTTAGTTTAATTTAGTCAACTAAAGTCAGTTTTCTTTTTTAATAAATTTTAAAATGTAATATTTACACCAAATCTTCTAAATATAATAAACAGTACTTCTCGTTTTCATGTAAAATGCTGACCGACATGGACACTATTTGGTTTTAAATGTTTTCTAATATAAAAATTGGTTCTGAGATCTTAAAAAATGAGCCTAAATACATTTGGTGCCACAGGAGAGCAGTGACCTTGTCTAAAATGCGCTCTAATTTTTTAACCATTAATCCAAAATTAGACTTAAGCTCTTTTAATTCCATTTGACAGTCGACAGTTTAATCCCAGTTGAAGATTATTGTTTCATTTTATTCGAAACCTGAGTGAAGTTGACCACGTTTAGAAGGACTTTTACTGATCCTGTAATCATTTTGAAAGTTGTTATTATTCAAATATTTATTATTTGTCATTAGGGACACTTGATATAAAGTGTGTGTGCGCTATCTGATGGAATGACACCCAGATCTCTGGACCGTAGATCACAAGCTCTAATTTCTTTTAGTGTCTCACATTCAGCAGCTGTTTCTCATGGCTCTGTTAGCAGAGCGATGAAACGTTTAAGAGGACGCGAGCACCGGTGTCATGATCTGTCTGAGTGATGCTCATTAACGTTTTCTAGCAATTTTAGTACATGCGTTTTACCTTTCATTTTATGTTGGTAAAATTAGGTACTTGGTCACACTACTAATCCTTGGGAAACAACGCAGTCAGAGACAATTCATTTGTTTCAATTGGGACAATTCGTGGCCGTAAATCAAACCTGCCACTCGTTTTTTTTCACACCCATCTCTCGCCACTCTTCCCTGTTTCTATTTCTACCGGAAAAGTCCTGAAATTCACTACTTCGAACTCTTTCCCCGAATTCCCCGAAACCGATTGCAACAAACCATTTGAGTTAAAAAAAACTAGTATATATAAGTACTGTGAACTTACTCTATTTAAGTTGAAGTAATGAGGTATTTAATTAACTCGTTACCTTCAAGACTGAGTTCAAAACTCTTATTTAATGAGTAGAATTAACTTTCAGTCAATTTTGAGTGAACTCCACTCATTTCATAAACTTTATTTTTTCTTTCTTTATTTAAATAAAGCTATTACTATATAGTACTATATACTATACAAATACTATAGCTTTTAGGTGTTTGAAAAAAGAAAGTCCATTTGAATTTTAGGACTTCACATTCATGACTACATTGACACATACAGTGATTATTTTGCCCAGTGTTAGTTTTAAGATGAACAATTAATCTGTTTAATTTTGTAAAAAAAAAAAAATTCTGTTTGAATATAACCCTTACCAAGAATGGAACAGAACATAGCTGTCGATCACTTCAGTCTAAAAGTATTTGGAGAAACATAATAATGTTAATAATGATAATAATAACAACAACAAACCAAAAAAAAAAAAGTAAATACAAAAACAAAACAAAATTAATAAATAAATTTACTAATTAATTAAATTATATATACATATATATTTGTTGCGTATTACTTAATATGGCCAACATACTCAATAAAGTGGTGCCATATTTTGGAATTGTTTTTTCAATCCTCTTCAGGAAGATCAAATTTTTTCAAGGTAAAGGAGACATTATCTCCCTGGTCCATTGAATGAAGGTGGGTGGAAGGGGATCTTTCCAATAGAGCAGAATTGCTCTGCATGCTATTAAAGAGCAAAAAAATCTGGGGCAATTCTAAATAATGCCTCAAGTGGTTCCGGCACAACAGAAAGGGTATTGAATATTGATCTCCAAAAGTTTTCTAATTTAGGAAAAATCCAGAATGTGTGCATTAAAGTACCCTCAGCGGACTGGCATCTATATTACACAAAGAGCTAATACCAGGAATTTGAGCTAATCTAACTTTTGATATATGAGCCCTATGTACTATTTTAAACTGAGGAAGAGATTGTTGAGCTGTGATAAATTTTTAAATCATTATTTAATCATTTGTTCTGCTCAGGAATGGCAGTCCTTCTCAGATGATGTCAGTTTGAAGGATTGAGATTGAAATATGCTTAACCATGCCCCAACAAAAGATGTGAGGAGCTCAAAAATAAGACCCCACTCCCTGATCAATATTTAATTTCAGTTGTAATTCGACAAAGTGAAATAAACATCTGTAACAACTTCCAAAGCATGTAGACTTTAAATAATACGGGAACAGACAAATAGTACCTGAAATTAATAAATTAAATAATTCTATAGCTAAATCTATTAAAAGTGGGTTTTTCCAGTTGGTGCTGGTGAAGAAAGTACTGTCTCTTTAGAAGCATATCTGCTTTTTATGTGCGTGTGATGATGCTTTCTCACTTTTAGCATGGAAATCCATGCTCATGCTCTTACTGCAGGCTGGTCTGACGCACCATGGGAGTCCGTTTGCGTGTGCACACGCATGTGCTTTAAAGAGAGATGAAGCTGTTGACACTTTATTAGAAAGTACCTCTCAACCTCAGCCTTATAAAGTGATGACAGCTCTTTGACCTCAATGGCCTGTTGACTTTAACTACTTAAGTAAAGTAAGAATTATTTAAAGCTGCAGCATGTGATGATTGATGCTTTACCAGATAATAAAAATGCAAATCATTTTTTAGCCAGACCAGCTATGCTGTTTCTGGATATGAGGAGTCATGCAGGTACTGATCTGCTTAACAGCTGGGAGTGACACCATTTTAAAGATTACTTCATGATGTGCTTTATTTTTCAACAGTAACATTACAAACTGCAGCTTTAAATAGAGACTTACATGGATATTTCACACAGAAATCATTGTTCCAACCTGTATGACTTTTCTTTGTGTGTATAAATTCTTTCAAGTGCCAAAATATGAAAATAAGAATGTACCATATTTTATGTTACAGTATATTTTTATTAGTACTATAAGTCTTCAGAAATAATATGCTTAAGTTTAACATATTTTTGATCTCTCTATCATTAGTTTGATCCCTCTATCATTAGTTTAAAATTCAATTTGATGACGTGCATATATGCATAATAACCTACCATTGAAAAGTTTGGGGTTTGTAAGATTTTTTTAAATGTTTTTGAAAGAAATATGCTTATGCTTCCCAAGGCTGCATTTATTTGATCAAAAATACAGTCAAATTCAATTATTTGTACATTTTTAAAGTAACTTTTTCCATTTAATCTGTTATAAATTGTAATATATTTCTGTGATATCAGTTTTGAAAGCAAGATGTGCTTACATTTTGTAGTAAATGTTCCAGATTCATTGTTTTACGCCAACTTAAAAGGATATTTATTTGGGGGAAAAAATCAAGTTAATGTGTCCTTGTTGAATAAAAGTGTACATTTCTTTCAAAAAAATCCTACTGACCCCAAATCTTTGAAGGTTATGTTAAGACACATAAAGACATGTGGTGTAAGGGAAGTCATAAAGGTTAAGAACCACTCAAAGAAACATAATCAAATTTTTATTTTTGTCTGATCCGTTTTTCTTTAAATAGAGATTATTCATACCTTGGTAGGAACTAGAACAGCCATAAATGTACTAAATGTCTGCTTCATGGTTTAACCTTGTTCATTTATACTTGTGGCCTCCATGAGTTGTTTTTTTAAGGCAGCCATATAGGACATTCATGAAGAGATCCCCTGGAAGCCTTTTAAACTCCATACAGATGGGGTCAGATTCCCAGTGTTTGGTCCAGTGATCCATGGCTTTGTCCGCTGTCGCCATAGAAACACTAAAGATAGGAGCAGCAGCTATGGATTTGACTCAACAGGCTCATTTCTAAAGAGAAAGAAACTGAGATGTACAGGGATCGATTTCAGGCCCAATGTGTTTTATGTCCCGCTGGTCCGCTCGATAAAGTCCAGCCTATGACTCACAGAGACTCTTGAGGATCCTAATATGTTCCTCTGAACCCCGACAGAGACTTTAATGACCACGCTGATGCCTCGACCACAAGCTCTGCTGGGCAGCCGCACGTCCAGACAAATAGGGACTCTATGATCACTGAACTGCAGGGGCCAATTTCATTTTAGGTTCAGGAAACTGATGTGGTGTCTTCGGCTCACTCTCAGCAGTTCATCTCCTGAATCTCGCAAATTGAAAAGAGGCCAAACTCAAACGATTTAAAATACCATTTAGAAGTTTTGGTTGAGAATGAAATTAGTACTTTTACTCAGCATGATGCATTAAAATGTATTACATTGTTTAGAAAATGTATACAGTCAGGGCTTGACATTAACACCCTCCAACCTGCCAAATGTGTGTAGATTTTAGCTGTGGTGTATTAAATAGCCGCTCCCACTAGCTACTTTGGCTGGTTGTAAATGTAAATTGCCAGTGCTGGCTCATCACTAAAGATTAGAAGATTAGTTTATGGCTGTTTTTCAGTATGCCTGCAAATGTGATCTTCGAATTGAGAAGCTGTTTAAGCGA